TTTAAACTTTATATAAGTAAAATGATTACCTACCAACTGAAAACATCTAAGACTGAGGACTATGTCTTCAGTTTCACACTTACACATCAAAGGAATCGAAAAAGTAATTGCATTAACGATCGTTAAACATGTATGATTTTACAAAGAACATGTAATCAAGTGATAGACAATTTGATAAATTAATCAAAATTATGTAATAAAATATACATGGTGCACAAATTTTGGCATCCCCAGGAGGGTCACGTGCACCGGGTGACCACCCCCTGGATCCGCCTCTGTAGGGGTTCTTCATTTATTAATTCTTTATTTTTTATTACCAGTATTCTCTATTCGTTACATTTTAGCACCCCATTATTCTCTATTTTTTTCTATTTTCTATTGTATTTGCCTAATATTCTGCACCTTTTGTCCATTATTCTGTATTCTGTAAACCCCAACCAGACCCTCTTTCATGGACTTGTATTTCAAATGAAAGTATAAGTTATATAAAAAAAAAACCGATATGTTCAATATAGATATACATGTATAAATTAATTATTTTAGACGGAAAGACTTTGTAGGTTAATGAACATAAAAATAGTAATAAAATCAAAAAGAAATCATTCTTATGTCCTGATTTAAAAAAAAGATGTAACTGAAGCTCTAATTTTTCTGTCTTTTGTGACTCTGGGTTTTAAAAAAAAAAGTTCAGAGAGGAGATTGGCAACACCATCAGATCCCTCACGTTAATTCATACGCCAATGTTAGGTGACGCTGTTCCAGTCCAGTTTTAGCCATTTTTCGTACCATTCCTTTTGATAAAATTGATGCCGGTAAAATGAACAAAGCCATTCTTTTATTCATCGAATTCAACTGTCTGACAGATTGTGTAACATATTCCCACTGAAAATGAGTATGGTGCAATTTTCTTAGTGGCTAGCTAGAAATGTTCTGTTGTTAAAGTCCATATGCACAAATGGATATCACTAGATGTCTTTCCTTTTTTTGTGGCCTGGTGTTGTTTAGTAGCACTGAATCCCCACGTGACTTTCATTTTACTTTGGGTACTGAAAGTGTGTGTGCACATTAATTTTTTTACATAGTAGAATAGTATGATATCAATAGAATCTCGTTCTCGATCTTTAAAGTTTTAGGAGTTAAATAGAATTGAGAACAGATCTATTCTATATTTGAGATGCAACTTTGGGTACATAATTTTTTAACCATATATATAACAATTTCCTTCGAGGAGACAACCATATGAATCAACACTAAGAAAACCCTTTTAGGATCCCCTGAATGTTCTTTTATTAGGAAAATATGTCATGCATAACTTCTTCAAATCATACACATGTACTATTTATACATGTGTCTATTTAAGGATTTGTGCTCTATTTTTAGCTTCAAAACTTTCCACAAAATTGCGGACGTGAAAGAAAACATTGTAACAAATAAACCTTAAAGTACAAAATGTAGCGCCCAATGATTGTGAAACATCACTTTTATTTATTATTTATGTGTAATAGTCTAAATGAAATGCTTCGCTGGGCGCAGCTTGATACGACCGCAGAGGTCGAACGGGCAAGTATGGACACAACATTCAAGCTGGATACAGCTCTGAATTTGGATTGTGATTAAATATTTGACACAGCATAGGTTTCTGACACAGAAAGAATGTGGTCTAAGTACTTGAATTTTTTTAATTTACCTATTATGGTCCAATGTCCAAAATCAAAATACATGGTTAGATTCAGCATATCAAAGAACCCCATATATTCAATTTTTGTTGAAATCAAACTAAGTTTAATTTTGGACCCTTTGGACCTTAATGTAGACCAATTTAAAAAACGGGACCCAAAATTAAAAATCTAAATACACGGTTAGATTTGGCATATCAAAGAACCCCAATAATTCAATTTTTGATGAAATCAAACAAGTTTAATTTTGGACCCTTTTGACCTCAATATGAACCAATTTGATAGCGGGGCCCACAAATAAAAAATCTAAATACATGGTTAGATTCAGCATATCAAAGAACCCCATATATTCAATTTTTGTTGAAATCAAACAAAGTTTAATTTTGGACCCCAATTTGGACCAACTTGAAAACTGGGCCAAAAATCTAAAATCTAAATACATGTTTAGATTCAGCATATCAAAGAACCCCATATATTCAATTTTTGTAGAAATCAAACAAAGTTTAATTTTGGACCCCAACTTGGACCAACTTGAAAACTGGGCCCATAATCAAAAATCTAAACACATGTTTAGATTCAGCATATCAAAGAACCCCAAGAATTCAATTTTTGTTAAAATCAAATTAAGTTTAATTTTGGACCCTTTGGACCTTAATGTAGACCAATTTAAAAAACAGGACCCAAAATTAAAAATCTAAATACACGGTTAGATTTGGCATATCAAAGAACCCCAATAATTCAATTTTTGATGAAATCAAACGAAGTTTAATTTTGGACCCTTTTGACCTCAATATGAACCAATTTGATAGCAGGGTCCACAAATAAAAAATCTAAATACATGGTTAGATTCAGCATATCAAAGAACCCCATATATTCAATTTTTGTTGAAATCAAACAAAGTTTAATTTTTGACCCCAATTTGGACCAACTTGAAAACTGGGCCAAAAATCAAAAATCTAAATACATGTTTAGATTCAGCATATCAAAGAACCTCATATATTCAATTTTTGTTAAAATCAAACAAAGTTTAATTTTGGACCCTTTGGACCTTAATGTAGACCAATTTGAAAACTGGACCCAAAATTAAAAAATCTAAATACACAGTTAGATTCGGCATAACAAATAAATAAATGTGGTCAAAGATTTTACAAATCTAATGCGCCATACTGTGCAATTAAAGATTACTTCTTGAAATTTTTCAATATTTGAAATTTGAAAAAAAAATAATATTTGAAGAATAATTCTTTTTAATTTCTGAAATCTGAAATGAGAAAAAAATTGACCCCCCACAATTTCTTTTTACCCCTCCCCTTTTTTCCCCCAAAAAATTCTTTCCCTCAAGATATGGTCATAATCTCAATTCAAATTTCCAATGGAGTTTGCAACCATAATTACCCATTTAAATTTACCATAGTGCTAACTTAATCTATTTTATAATAGAATTTAAAATAAAGTGTCAAATCTTTCATATGGATTTTTTTGTAAAAAAAAAAAGATGCAACATTTGCAGATATTTTTACTGGTCTTCCTTTATAAATATGCATTTATTTAAACATAATTTAAAAGCAGTGTAAGGGAAGTAACCAAAACGTTGTATTTGGATTACCTCCCTTACACTGTTTTAAATTATCTTAATTGTTCATTAACCATTACTTTATACATAATTTAAAAGCAGTGTAAGGGAGATAATTTCAATGATGTATTTGATTTATCTCCCTTACACTGCTTTAAATTATGTTTTGTACTAAAGTATTTGTCCATTAACCAGGACAACCTTGTTTTTCCCCCTTTTTTGCCCCTAATCCCTAAACGGTTTGAGCCATAACCCCCAAAGCAAATCCTAACCATCCCTTTGTGGTATGGAAACTTGTAGTATAATTTCAGAGAGATCCATACACCATTCCACAGTTATTGTCTGGAAACTAGAAAATGCTTATTTTTGGCCCCTTTTTGGCCCCTAATTCCTTAACTGTTGGTACCATAACCCCCAGAATCAATCCCAACCTTCCTTTTGTGGTATTTAACCTTATGGTAAAATTTCAAAGAGATCCATTCACTTAAACTAAAGTTAGAGTGCGAAAACCAGTGTGTCTTCAGACGACGACGTCATACCAATATACGACCGCAAAAATTTTTTGCGGTCGTATAAAAATTATGGTGTATAAATATTAAATGATTGTTGCAACCGTAAAGAAAATATAAATAAAATGCTTCGCTGAGCGCAGCCTGATACGACCGCAGTGGTCCAACCCTAAACAGTTGGGGCAAATTTGGATACAATATTCAAGCTTGATACTGTCTGAATTTTGATTGTGATCAAGTTTTTGACATAATAAAGGTTTCTGACACAAAATAAATGTGGTCAAAGATCTTACAAATCTATTGCCCAATACTGCGCAATTCAAAGTTTCTTCTTTAAACTTTTCAAAAATTTGAAATTTAAAAATTTTTGAAAAAAAATATGAATTCCTTAAAAAAATTTGAAAAAAATTCCTAAACTGTTGGCCCCATAACTCCTTAAATGAATCCCAACCTTCTACTTGTGGTATTAAACATTGTGGTACAATTTCAGAGCAATCAAAATACTTATACACAAGTTAATATCCTGAAACTAGAAAAATGCTTGCTGTTGGCCCCTTTTGGGCCCCTAATTCCTAAATGGTTGGGACCATCATCCCCAAAATCAATCCCAACCTTCCTTTTGTGGTATTGAACCTTCTTAAAAAATTTCATAGAGATCCATTCACTTAAACTAAAGATATTGTCTGGAAACCAATGTGTCTTCGGACGACAACGCAGACGAGGACGACATCATACCATTATACGATCCCAAAATTTTTTTGCGGTGGTATAAAAATTCGTTTTGTGTCTTCTGTTTGACGCAGCTGAGAATTTTATATGATTCGTTTTCTTTTTTTTGAATCTGAGACTATATTTACTTGTTTCAACTGATGTAGTAATTTTTGAAATAGAGGATATCTTTACAAGATTAAGTTTAGTGTTTATGTCCCAAACTTGCATCCCCTTCTTATTTTCTGCAAGTCGGTCTTTTCCCAGTGAATAATGGGTTTCCAAGCTCTACCACCCTACGTCACTGACACCAATCAGGTTCCTGATTTTCATTTGAACATAGTCTTCATAATTATTTTCATACTCATTTACAAAATCCTCTAACATGATGTCTTACAACAATTCATAACTTAGTCTGCGATTTAATCAGTTCTAGTATCAATTTCATTTCAATGATATCATCTCAGTCCAAATGAACAAACTGTGTGTTCTCCCGTCTTCTAATATTATTGAAAATAAGTCTGAGAAACCAAATTGAAAGATTAAATGTGTGTGCCTTTAATAAGCAATGCAATACATTAATATTGGGACAACAAAAGAAATACTTTCACTGTGTGCATTTCTGGAACTTATTGTCTAGCATGAGCTAACACAATGAAATATAAGCCACCTTATATTCACAAAAGAAATATTGGCCAATATGAATATACAATATGAGATATTGGCCAGCATAAGCTTACAAATAAGACCTTAACAAATGAATGAACTTATAAAATGAGCTATTTGCTTGCATGAACTAATAAAGTGAGTCATTTGGTAGCATGAAGTTACAAAGTAAAATATTTGGTACACAATCACAAACTTGTAACATTAGATCTTAACTACCATAAACTTACAAAAAGTGATATTAACTAGAATGATCTTACAAAGTGAGATATCATTCAGTATGAACTTACAAAGTGTGATAGTATTCAGAATTAAATTAAAAAATGATATATTATTCAGAATGAGCTTACAGAGTGTGACATTATTCAGAATGATGTTACAAAGTGAGATATTATTCAGAATGAACTTACAGAGTGAAACATTATTGAGAGGGAACTTACAGAGTGTCATATTATTCAAATGGAACTTACAAAGTGAGATATTATTCAGAAGGAACTTACAGAATGAGACATTATTCAGAAAGATGTTACAAAGTGAGATATTATTCAGAATGAACTTACAGAGTGAGACATTATGCAGAATGATGTTACAAATTGAGACATTATTCAGAATGAACTTCGAGTGAGACATTTTTTGGAGGGAACTTACAGAGTGTCATATTATTCAGATGGAACTTACAAAGAGAGATATTATTCAGAAGGAACTTACAGAGTGAGATATTAGTGAGATATATTAGCTAAACAGGACTTTCGAAGTTGCAAAAATGTAATAATGTTAATGGATATAACTCCTGTCATAAATCATTAAGCCAAAGATTGATTGATTGATTATTTGGTGTTTAACGCCACTTTCAACACTATTGTGCTATTTCATGGCAGTCAGTTTATATTGGTTGAGGAAGCCTGAGTGCCCGGCGAGAACCACGACCTTCGGTAGGAAAACTGACAATCCTAGTCAATCAAGATTGGAGTCTAGCGCACCTGCCAATTGCGGGTTTCAAATTCACAACCTCAGTGTTGACAGGCTAGTGATACAGTAGTATGACTTCTTAGACAACTCGACCACCAAGGCCCAATTAAGCCAAAGAGGTACATGTAGTATTAATGTGAACAGATTTTTAATTAGAAACGTTTTATTCAGGTAATGAGCATCATATTACAAATTAATATTTACTTTTGCATTCTATTTTTTGGGAACTATTTTCAAGCAAAAACATGCAAAAGACGATATTTGCTTGCATGATCTCACAAAATTAGAATGTAAAACAAGCTACCTAAAATGGTGTTCATGTGATTGATACATTAAAAAATTAAGAAATTGAATCTTTTTGAGTCCATATAACCAGTAGTATCAACTGTTTATCAATGATATCTACTGTAATCTTTTGAAAAGACAATGGACTTCTATAAAATATATATTCATTAAGACTCAATGCTGTTTAATGTGTTTACAATTTACATTTGTAACTTTTGATCATACATTTAATTGGTGTTACTGTGGTTTCATAATAATACATGGGATAACAATTTTTCGCAGATTTTGTGGATAAAGGTACCATAAATTTAAATGTTCAACTAAGTAAAAATTTCTAAATGCATTTATGCAGACTTTGGCAAAACCACGAATTCTAATATCCACGAAAATACAGTTTTTCCTTAATCCAAGAAAATTGGTACCCAAGAAAATAATTGAAACCACATGTACAGTAATTAAAATGTGTTGGAAATTGATAGAACAATTAATATGTAAGCATATTATTATATATAAAATAGATAATATGTCTAATCTTTACATTAGAATATCACATAAAATTACAACTTGTAAGGTATCTCCAGCATTTAAGTAAATAGAAGGAACTTTTAGTATGAAATATTCTTTCATATCAATACAATGAACTCCTTCTTGCAGAGTAAAAAAAGGAAAAAGGTTGGCATAAACCATTGAAATCATTGTGAAGCTCTGGTGGAGACATTTTCAGAATTCTGATGCACTCTTATGCATATTACAAATAGAGGTTATCTTATCAATGCACAAAATTAAACAGAGAGAGTTACACATTAAATTACTATAATACAAATTTACCAATGTGGAAGTAATTCAAAATACAAAATCATTTACCAGTACCTATTTTTACACGTTCCACAAACTTTAAATCAACATTCTGATAATTAAATTGATCAATTTAGTTTCTCATTTTGGCCAAAAAAAATAAATATATAAATAAAATCTCCCTTTAAAATAAACTAAATCAATAATGTTTTAAAAGATAGCAAGGATATCCAAAGTTAACTGAGGCTGTGTTATAAGTATTTGCATAACATCCTAGTCCTTTTGGTGATCATGTGATCAGTTCCTTACTCCAAATTGCCATAATGCTTTTCAGAATCAAAAACTCTATTATAATTTAACCCTTAACTGAATGCTCAAACTCAATCATGCTATTCCTTTTGCTAGAACCTATCATACAGGGAATATATAAAAATATTCGAGCAATGACTCGTAATTACTTAAAATAATGAATGAGCACATTATGGTAGTGAGAAATTGGAGGGTCCCTTCAGAGTACATTGCTTAAAGGGCATAAACTGTCAATCAATTTACAATTTTTAGAAACCAACATTGTTAATAGATGTTGAAGTTTGCAGATACAAAAGGGATGATTAATAAATGATTTACAAATATGAATGCTATTTAAGGTTTTAGGCTATTTTAAATATTGTTTCACTGTATGAAACTTTGAAATTTATATTTATAGCAAATATACATGTTGGCATATTAAATGCAGCATTTCAATTTTAATAGGTTTTTTTTTCTCCTTTGAAACTGTACACGAGTTACATACAGCTGAATGGTAAAAAGATGAGAAAATTTAATTCCTTTTCAGATACCTTTTCTAATCTTCAGTGATGTGGCAATCTTTGTTGATTCTTTCAGTTGATTGTTATTAAAAATAATCTTAAAAGTTTCTGTATTCTTCATGACAATAATTTTGACATCTTTTGTTGATTTTTTTTCTAAGGTTCCCAAAGAAAATCCCCAATAGGATATTTCGCTTTGATTCCTTCTAGCTATAAAGAATAAACGTTTTACTGGACACTTTCAAAAGATCAATCTCTATTTCATACCACAATGTGATGTTGCATTTTTTAGCTGGCAGGACTTTAAGGTGCTTGCTAAAAAGGTAAACAGTTGTAAAACATGAATTATGTAAACATTGGTTAAAATTGATCAATTAATTGTATTAAAGGTTACATGGATGGATGACTAATGACAAATAACAGTTATATCTCATATGAGCTTTATCTTACATAGGATCTACAAACCATGAAACATTTAACACCTCATAAAAACATTATTCTGGAATAAAACAAAAAATCACCGATCTAAATTCAAATCTGTCAAAATATCAAATGATAGAATACCCAGTATAATCATTTTTTTCATACCAGTTTAAACAATATACATGTACATTAAACTATTACTTATATAACCAACAATTTTTTTACACACTTTATTTCATAAATATTGATGAAAAATCACTAGTCATTAATTCCACATCGGAATTATCACTTTTTATTATTTCCCTTAAAATATTCATGAGATTTTGGAAATCTGTCTGGAACAAAGTCTGAATCTGTTTGAAGCCTGTCAATGATTGAGTTTCTTGTATGTTCCTCATATTCATTCAATAATTCTGCATTATCTTCAATTTCTTTAGTTAGATTTTCAATACTACTGATAGGTTCAACACCTGCAGACGCCACAGCTCTTCTTATTGACTGTGTCAAATCTAATCTAGGATTTGATGCATCAAATGGTTGATTTAACTGAAAAGGTAAAAAAAAAAAAACTGTTTAGTGAAATGAAAAGGAAAACAATTACTTAAATTTAAATGGTTACTTTAACTGAAAAACAATAAATCATACCAAAATGACTGATTTAATTGAAAATGAAAATACAAGAATGTGTCTAAAGTACATGGATGCCTCACTGGCACTATCATTTTCTATGTTCAGTGGACCGTGAAATTGTGGTCAAAACTCTAATTTGGCATTAAAATTAGAAAGATATCATAGGGAACATGTGTACTAAGTTTTAAGTTGATTGCACTTCAACTTCATCAAAAACTACCTTGACCAAAAACTTAAACCTGAAGCGGGACAGACGGACGCACAGACCAAAAAACATAATGCCCCTCTACTATCGTAGGTAGGGCATAAAAACCAATACATCAAATGGTTAATTTAACTTAAGAAAAAAAAAATTCTAGAGGTCACAAAATGACCTTCTATGAAAAACTGAGTCCAATCCATTTCATGGCATATCAAAAGCTCCAAATATCTCTGTTTCGCCAAATTTTAAATGAAATCCAAAAAGACGAAAGAGACCTGACATCTGACATTAGTTATACTTTAGATATAATAGTTACTATCATATTTAAAGTATAACTGACACTAGGACTTACCTTCCTTCGTTTAGCTGGCATTCCTTGGTAATAAGCATCACTAAAAGGAGGTTGATGTTTCTGTTGTTTCTGTTTCTTTATATCACCATTTATAATAGGTACCCATTCCTAAAATACAAATATCATCAAAATTAAGACATCAAATACTGTAAATTCAGAAATTATTGCGATGTTTTTATTATTGCGAAAAATGCGACAGGGTTATAATCGCAATAATTTAAACTCGCATTTTGAAATTTTTTATATGAATTAAACAGGATTTTTCTCAATATCGCAAAAATTAAAATCGCATTTTAGTCCAAGATGACAAAATCGCAATAATAAATGCACGCAATAATTTCTGAATTTACAGTATGGTAATCCTTTTTTTTTTTAATGTTATGTCTACCCTAAATGATAAAGGAAAAAAAAAAGGATGACACATTCTTCTCGAACAATAATACCGTCTTTAGGTGTGTATAGATCGCAGATTTTTACCCTGGGATAGATTTCCAAGAAGGAGGGGTGTGTATTATGCATGCTTCGGCCATGAAACCAGCTGGTCAGGAAGAAAATGTTTTCGTAGCAAAAAGAAAATGATTGTTGTTATGTTTTAAATGTATATTTTTACCATCTAGTATATGATTTGTAATGTTATATGAAAATAAAAATCATTTAAATGCTTCAGTAGTTATGTTATTTGCGTTTTTTTGTGTCTGTTCTATGTTGCCGCCCGGAAGTTGTAATTGGTCATATCCGAATTAGTGATGATTCTGTCAATGGCCAAATAAGTGTAGGTGATTCTTGAGTTTATAACTTACTTTTGATATGTTCTAACAAGGAATACAGAATTTGAATGTATGAAAATTGAATGAAACCAGCCCCTTTGATGATAGTGATCACCATTGTTTTTTTACTTTCGTAGTATCAGGTGATCACGTCACATGACTTTAACATTATGAAGTTGAATAAAGTGATGATTTTATACGTATTTACTTTGTGACATTTTAAAATCCTCTATAAAAACCTTCATACAAATCATAAATTGTAAACATGTTTTTTAAAATGCATTTTAATACCTGCAGGAATTTGATTGAGGAACAAAGTGAACCTGTCAATTGATTTGTTTCGACAACGATTAGACTTTCTAATTGGTTACCAATAAGAGTGTGATATCCTGGATTTAACGATTCAATGAGAACCAACAAACAATTAATAAAATAAGCAGAGATTAATATTCATTTCAGCACTAATATATCAATTGTATTTGTTTTTTTAAGATTAAAGATCAAAGCAACAAATTTCCATGATAATTAAATGATTGATTCTTAATTAAAAGTTATTATTTGAATAACTACATAATCTAGACTAATGAAACACTTCTTTAATCCTCAAACAAGTTAATTATCTTTTTAAAATACAAACTTGTTTTTTGATATTTTATCTGCTTAAATCTTATAATACAATTCATTTATTTATTTATTGTGTATTTCAGAAAATTCGTAATGTTTCTGTATTCCGTACAAGATTCACCGACTACGATTTGCATTTAAACAACTTCCCGATTTAACACTTCCTGTTGCACTCAAACAAACACATCTTGGGACACAATAAAGAATCAAACATCATTTGCTAAATTATTTATCCTGCAACAATGTTTTCATTATCATGTAATCAACCAGGACTGGAGTTCATTTTGTCTCTTAAAAAAAATCACTTTTCAATGGATGCATTACAGAGTTTCAAGTTGGGATTCTTCCAAAAAGCCACTGCGTGTTATGCACAAGAACTAACTTTTTTCTGAAGTTTGAAGGGCCAAAAAGGGGGTGCGTTCTATGCATGGGTGCGTTTTATACACACCTAAAGATGGTACAAAAAATAATTTTTTTAAAGAAAATAAATTTATCCTATATTTTTGTTCACATTTTATTTATTTTTAATGGTGACAAATTGTAAAAATAAATAATTTACTGATTTTTTATTTTTCAATTATCTAAATGTACATTAATTTTAAATAAACACATTTTGAAATATGAAATATAAGTGAAGATATAAAATAAGTACTTATATACATACTTCTGGGATTTCTTTCTGCCAAGAAGTATCTCCTTCAGAACTAGTTGATGGTTCCCCTCCAGTGGCCCCATTCAAAACCTGTTCCTCAACAGCAGCTGCTCCAGGTGATGTTTTCACAGAAACTGCTTTCTTAACAACGTTAGCTGCACCACTTGGTGATGATTTGCTGTCATGTTTTGTTTCAACTTCCATTGACTAGATAAAAAAAAAAAATACAGACATCACCAACCAAGGTCACACCTCATGTTTCCAACTCCAAAAGGCAAAGTTAGCCCAATTTAATTAGGTTTTTTTCATCTCCTCTTGGTTGCCTAACCTACCATGTACTTTAACATCTTTAAGCTTATTTTACTTTTAGTATCTGCATGCATTGTAAATATTATTAATAGTCATGTACATGTAGCAATCATCGTTATAATTTATAATTAATGTATTTGATTTATCTCCTATTACAGGTAACTTAATAATAAACTGTTTACACAGATATATGTTGCACCTCTTTGTAAGAACTAGAGCCAAGAACCCCAATAAACGGCCCTGTTATGGTGTTTTTTTTAACTTCAATTATTAAAGTATATCTAATGGGTATGTATTGCTAAATGTATAATATTTAAAATTATCGTTTACTTAGAGCAAATAACTTCTAATTTTTACAGTATGATAATAGCATTAAATTTACGTAAATTCCATATTTTCCGTAATGGTGCTTAGCAGGCTGATATTAAAACTTTATCAACTGCTTCTGGTTATTATCGCATGCCTTTCCTTAACATTATCGCATGGAAATTCGACGTCACTCAGCAAATTCCGGAAATTACACCTCAATGGTACGTTTTCAGTGAAAAACATAACAAAGTAGGATAGAAAAAAAACAAATATTAGAAAACAGGAAAATATATTTTGAGTAATGCAAAACAAATGATACAATAAAATGCATTAAGTTTTAAATATAGTTCTTGTGTGTATTTTTTCTGCTATAAAAGTATATGATAAAAAGATTTGAACTTCTACTTGAGAACCACTTAAAAGGATCAATATATAATGCTGTAATTTCTCTCCATTGTTGAAGCATATAATTAAAAGATCATAACATGTCATTTTTCATATCAGATGTATTATCAGCCCTCGGTCAATGTCAGCCCTTGAGCCTGATATTGAACCTTGGGCTGATAATACATCTGTTATGAAAAATGCTATGTAGTAATCTGATAGTATAATACAAAATTGTATATCTGCTTCATATTCATGAATATATTAACCTGAAATAGGAATACATTTCATTTTCGTCCATTTTTGTAGAAATTTGTCAACTTTTCCACCTTTTTTCATGATTTTGTATGTGGAGCAACCCCTCGCCCAGTGAAATTTTTGTTGAAAAGTAAAGAATATATTATATAAACTAATAAAGAATATTTCAGCCAAAATATGTGTGGGCAAAGGGTGGTGTCACTGTTAATTCTTCAGAAAACTGTCATAAATATTGCAGAATTCTGAAAAAAATCAGGTTTTTACGAAATTCACCTTCATCATATACGTCACTGATGATGCAATCGATGAAAATATGTTTTAACTGAAACAATTGGACATTTTAACATATGTTTTAATCAAATCTTCACTACGTTATCACGACACAGTGAAAATTTTCAGATTTTGAGGGCCAAAATTATGAGTTAGTGAACCAACTCCTTTGATAGTAAATGCAAATGTTGAAATTAAAATAGCAATACTATAAATTGTAAAAAATGCAAAATATTCAAAGTCTATGAACCAAGATTTAAGGTATAGCACCAAATAATTTAAGTGGAAATAAGATAAGCCAATGCTAATACAACTGCATACCAAATATCATTAACTTATTATGAGTGGTTCACCTTAAACTGACATAATCACAATTTTTAACATGTAAACGACGCAAAAGCTTCAAAGTCAATAGACCATGACTGAGGAGTTGGACCAAATTATCTCCATGGAAATGAGATGTGCCGATGCTTATGCAACTGCATACCAAATATAATTGATCTTTAGTGGTTCCCTTAAACTGATCTAATCAAAAACTTCAACAAATTGTTTACACTGCCAATGTCGCCTGAAACATTATACCTAAGTTTTGTTTTTTTGACTCCATCACGATGAAGTTCTTTCTAAAACTTCTACAATGTTTCAATTTTGTATTGATTGTGATCAATTTATGAACAAATGTATACGTGTATTGTTCGAAACTTCAAGGGTAAATAAGGTTTAGCTGGACTTCTCCTTTCCAGTAGTCTGACCAATGTAAAGAAAGGTTCATTTGGCTATGTTGGATGTACAAACATGCAGCATTGTGCGGTAAGAATTGGGTGTAAAAAAAAATAATGCCCTGAATTGATAGAGTACCACATTTTGCATTTTTAAGAACCCTTTCAAAAAACTCCTCAACTCAGCTGTTACAAGACTGAATTCCTTAACCTACCTAACATATCATAATTTTCCAGTGTCAGTCCAAATTAAAGATTTCATAACATGCTAGAAAACATCTATACCTGTGGAGATTCAACTGCAGAAGCACCAGGAGATTGGACAACTGGACTTGTTTCCATTGGAGCTTCAGGACTAGGTGTTTTTTCTTTCTTTACAACATAGTGCATGATTTGCTCTTCCGTAACCCTTATTGAAGGTACAAATGTATTAAGCTGTGCTGTAGTTGTACTAGCCATCCACTGTTGAATCAATGGATTAACTCCCCTTGTTAGGTTCTCCTGCAAAATGACATTTGTTGTGTTAATGTCTAACTTAACATCTACATTTAATGCTCACAGAATGACACATTGTGCCATCATCTCCATTTATTCAAATTTTTCTATCTATTAAAGGAGCATATTATTTGACTTTACAATAAGTAGCCTGAATCAATCATATGGTAAAAATTTGCCATGCTGATATCAACATAAAATTCTGTGCATAAAAAAACTTTTTACAAAAATGTCCATTCATTTTTACAGAGATTGTATTGCTGATCATTTATTGTTTGAAGTGTCTGCATATCTCCACCTATCAAAAGACATCCAACTATTATAGTTTTAAACATAATAGTCAAATGCAAAAAAACTGTCAAATAGTCATTTCAGTGAGGGATTACAAAAAGCAGATTGATGGTTTTAGTTATTTGCTTTCTGTTTAGATCTTGTATTGCTGATCATTTTTGGTGTTCAAAGATTTTTGTCTATATTAGTGTTTAAATTTGTTTGTTCAAAAGTGAAATAATTTTAATTTAGATAGCTGTATTTAAACTGTTAATATAATTATTCTGATGCCATATATTCTTGTTAAATTTGTTCATGCTTCCTTTCTTATTTTCAAAACTGTCCTATTTTATGTCTGTCGAAAATATTATTGTTCAAATATTTTGCCCCTTGAATCATTTATAACTTTGAATAAAGTATATTTCTGTTCAAACCTTATTTCAACGATGCTAGATGCTAGAACAACATGAATATTTGATATATTTGTATACTTACAAGTCTATTTTGTACAAGTCTGCTTAAGGCTGGCATTCCTCCAACTAAACAATATCTGGCAAGGACAATAATTTCAGATAGAGCTTGTCTTAACATCTCATATAATCTTGCACCAAACTGTACATCTCCACCTATCAAAAGACATAATGTTCAGTTGATTACTTTTATAAGCAGCTGTTTGTTTTTAAATGTAGATAATCTGACTTATTGCTCTAGGTTGTTTAACACTTACACATGCAAATAGCCTGAATTTGACTTTTTTTTTTTAAATGAGGACTATGTGAACTTTATTTATTTTGACTTACTGTCTGTGCTTGAATGCTAACTTTATCTATAACTTGTCATGGTGTAAACTAAAACAAATATCAAGTCAATACACGTATCTTCAAGAATGACGAAAAAAAAATTTGGAAAATTGATTATTTAAGGGAATTTTCTAAGTCCACGGAACATAACTCTGCACAAAATCATCAGACCAGAACAAAATTCAAACTTGATCTGTAACTTGACATAATAAAACTATATACCAATCATCAAATCAATATCTTCAAGCATGACAAAAAAACGTGCGGAAACAGATTATTTGAGTGAATTTTCTAAGTTCAAGGACCATTACTCTGCACAAAATCGTCAGACCAGAAGAAAATTGGAACTTGATCTGTAACTTGTAATGATTAAACAATACACCAAATATCAAATCAATATCTTCAAGCGGGAAGAAAAAAAGTGTGGAAAACTGATTTGTCGGACTGACTGATGGACAGACAGACAGACGGAAGGACGGAGTGCAAACCTTAAGTCCCCTTCGACTTCGTCAGTAGGGGACTAAAAAGGCATAAGAACACTGATTAATTGACAGTAAAATCTATTTCAGGTTTTTGGTTCACAATTTTTAATTTTTCTTGTTCAACATTGTTTGAAGCACTTTAAGTAAATTGATTTGAATTCCTAATAAAAGTTTTAAAAATGGGTCAAAGTCTCAAATGGCCAGGTTGCAATATTTGTGACTAATCATTAGAATGTTTACAATGTAGCTACAATTACATAAGTGTTGTAAATTTTGCTGGAAAAATAAAGGGTTAAATTTTCAAATGGCCTGCGGCTCTTTTCACAAAAAATCTTTAGAGTAAAAATACTCGTAAGTCATACACATTTCAGTATAACTTACGATCAATTTTAGTCGTAAGATTTTTTGTGAAAAGAGTCGCAGGTTACAATATTTGTGACTATTCAATGTATAAAGTTTACATTGTAGTTACAATTACATGAAGGGGAATAAGAATTTTTCTTAAATAAGTAACAGGAAAAAGAATAAAAGGAAGAGTGCTGTAAATCTTAAATCTGCTATTTTCAATATTCATTGTGAATAATAGAAAAATACATATTAAGGGTGAAGTAAGGATCTGAGTTGAAAAAACTGTAGGAGTTGATTACAAAAACTTGGTACCCTGTTTTGTAAATGTTGCTGGAAAATAACTAAGTTCCCAAGTCCAGAAAATGTCAAAAAAATTCTTAAAACAATTCCATATAGCAGGTGCACAACTTCAATATGTGTTCAATCTTTCCAAGAAGTCTTAGGGATCTTGGTTGAAAACTGTAGGAGAAGTAGATTACACAAATAAGGTCCCTCCTTTTTCCTGCTGGCAAAGCCATCTGCCAACCTAAAATCACTTTACTATAAGCAGGTTTTGGACCTCTTCCAACTGGGCAAATAATAATAAATATCAAATAAATTCTGTTAATCATTTTCTAGTATTATACAATAACCATGAAAAGATAAATTTGTTATGGAATGAATAATTCATTATTTTTCCATTTTTGTTTTTAATATATTTTCTTATCCTAATTAACCAAATCAATTGTTTTATACCTAAATATCTAATATATTTTCTTATATTCTAATAATCTGATACATTTTGCAAGTGTTATGTAATTTCTTTACATTGTGTCTTATACTGTGTTTTGTAATTTCGCATGTTTCATTTTGAAAAATAACCAAACAAGAATGTGTCCATAGTACACAGATGCCCCACTCGCACTATCATTTTCAATGTTCAGTGGACCGTGAAATTGGGGTCAAAACTGTAATTTGGCATTAAAATTAGAAAGATCATATCATAGGGAAAATGTGTACTAAGTTTCAAGTTGATTGGACTTCAACTTCATCAAAAACTACCTTGACCAAAAACTTTAACCTGAAGCGGGTAAGACGGACGGACGGACAGACGGACAGACGGATGAACAAACGAACAGATGCAAAGACCGAAAAACATAATGCCCCTCTACTATCGAAAGTGGGGCATAAGAATAACTCTTATTGAAAGCAATAATGGAATATTTTCATCTTCATTGTCAAAAACTTTTAAAACATTTACAAGTATCTTCTAACAGATAGACATACCTCTTGTCTGCATAATCATACTTAATATGGCTGTCAGTTGTACTCGACAAACATTACTTAATGTGGCAACAAAATCTATATCTGGTTTGACTTCTGTCACTTCCTGTAATGGAGAAAGTAAAACAGATTATTGTTATGTACAACAGCATTCAACAGACATGTTTACTTAAAAGACAAATTATTCATTTACCATTCTGATTTTTTCTTCTTTATCATAAACTAATTCATTTTTCCCTTTCGTTTTTTATTCTTTTTCATAAACTTTTACAAGACCAATGTTCAAAATATTTGGTTGACCTTTCAGTCCAGCCAACAACCACTACAGTAGGAGTTAAAAGTCACACCAGTATTTTTGACTAGGTATTCTTAATTTACTTTTCTGATATATAGAATCTAACTACTTAACAATCATACCCCAATCAGTAACCCTTATTAAACTGATCCATAGGTGTTGGTCTAAATAGCGGCATATGTCCAACAATTATGAATAAAAATTTGAATAATTAAAGTAAACATATACACCCTTTTTTCTTTCTGTCCTTGAAAGTATATTAAATATCAGACACTGAAGGTATTGTCACTCTTTAAAATTTCATGGATGATGATGATAGATGGCTGCTTAACATCCAGCAGCAAATTAATATGCATATTCAGGACGAGAACATGTTAATGTAATATGATAATTTACCCTGTTTTGTACAAGACCGACCTTATGAGCCGGATATTTAACGTGCTAGCTCACAAGGTAACAGTCCGCAGGAAGACATGTCACCTTACCCGGACACATTATTCTAACTCTGAGCCAACCAGTCTTTGCTCTTACTCCTTAATGCCACGTGCTTGGCGGAGAAACAGCAAATATCAATTTTAAAGTCTTTGGTTTGACCCGGCTGAGGTCGAAACCCACAATCTCCCGCACTCGAGGCAAACACGCTACCACAAGACCTAAAATTTCATGGAAATTAAGGTAATACAACAGAAGCTTCTACTACAGTACCTACCTCTGCACTCTTTAGTTCACTTGTCATATTAGCTACAAGCCTGTTGACACCAGCTTCTATATTTTCTCTTGTGGGTTCGCCATCGTTTAATATTCTACCTCTTATAAATTCTTGTAATGGTGCACGTAAACGGTTTAAGGCGGCAGCATTTCCAGAAAAGACTTGCAGTAAATCTGGCAGCGATAAATGCCTGGACACACAGTTAAAAAGGTCATTTATAAACACACCTGCAGATAGAAAATAAAGTCTCAGGGAAGTCCATATAGTATATTATCATGAATAATTAAAAGTTGATATACCTATTATTTCGTTAAATAAAAAATCAAGGGGATATGAAAAATGACATGTCCCTATATTCTGTTTTCTGAAAGTGAAAGAAATTAGAATATATAAAACATCCATTTCCCATGTCTATATTTGAGATATGAAGATCTGTTCTACTCCAAAAAATCATATTTTGAGTGAACAAATCTGCATATCTCACTAAGGCAAGGGAAATAAATTTATAATATTTCCATTTATTTTATAGTGTGTTCGACTCCAATCTCAATTGACTGGGATTGTCAGTTTTCTGCTGAAGGTTGCTGGTTCTCTCTGGTTTCCACCACCAATAAAAGCTGACCACCAAGAAATAGCCAACAGTGCTGAAAGTGACATTAAACACCAATCAATCAATCCATTTATTTTATATTGAAGTTATGATATACAAAACTGGAAAAAAAGTATTTCAGGAGCTATGACAATAAACATAGTCACGCCATCATAAAAAATATTTTTAAGCATTTTTATGAATATGCATATATATGTTAATGTTCAGATGTTTTTTTTTTATTACACATATACAGCACATTCAAGAACGAACTTAATAATTTACCACTGCATTTGATTAAATAAAGAATGCCTCTCTTATAATATTTGATAAAACCAAAGCCTTTAAAAAAAACCAAAGTCTTTAAAACTGGCATATTGGAATGAAAGAACCTTAGTGAGCACGCTCACAAACCCCACTTCCCCACCTTGTCATTGGAGAAATAAAATAAGTGTAAGAAAAAAAAATTGTATCAGAAAAAAAAATTGAATCATAATTTCCTGTCAATATGCACATCTACATAGTATGTCCTTATTATCTACACAGTTTCATGAAATTCTGTTGTGTGGTTTGAGAGGAGTTGCGATGACAAAAGGTTGCAGTAGTATATTGGGCAAATAAGTTCAAAGGGGCGTAACTCCTGGAAAAAAAATTGAATCCTATTTTCCTGTCGATATGATCATCTACGTAGTATGTCCTTATTATCTGAAAAGGTTTCATGAAATTCTGTTGTGTGGTTTGAGAGGAGTTGCGATGACAAAAGGTTGCAGTAGTACATTAAAGTAAATAAGTTCAAAGGGGCGTAACTCCTAGAAAAAAAATTGAATCACAATTTCCTGTCGATATGCACAACTACATAGTATGTCCTTATTATCTGAAAAGGTTTCGTGAAATTCTGTTGTGTGGTTTGAGAGGAGTTGCGATGACAAAAGGTTGCAGTAGTATATTGGGCAAATAAGTTCAAAGGGGCGTAACTCCTGGAAAAAAAATTGAATCATAATTTCCTGTTGATATGCACATCTACATAGTATGTCCTTATTATCTGAAAAGGTTTCATGAAATTCTGTTGTGTGGTTTGAGAGGAGTTGCGATGACAAAAGGTTGCAGTAGTATATTGGGCAAATAAGTTCAAAGGGGCGTAACTCCTGGAAAAAAATTGAATCGTAATTTCCTGTCGATATGCACATCTACGTATTATGTCCTTATTATCTGAAAAGGTTTCATGAAATTCTGTTGTGTGGTTTGAGAGGAGTTGCGATGACAAACTGTTGTAGTAGTACATTAAAGTAAATAAGTTCAAAGGGGCGTAACTCCTAGAAAAAAAATTGAATCGTAATTTCCTGTCGATATGCACAACTACATAGTATGTCCTTACTATCTAAAAAGGTTTCGTGAAATTCTGTTGTGTGGTTTGAGAGGAGTTGCGATGACAAGAAATAGGACTGACGGACTGACGGTCTGACGGACGGAAAGACGGACGGGTCAAAAACATTATACCCTCCGCAACTCGTTGCGTGGGGTATAATAAGTGCAAGGAGTGATTGACTAGAAGTCAGAATAATGAATCCTAATAGGGTGACATGGCACCTGTGACCTGTTATGTGGTAAGCTAATACCTTAAGATCAGACTAAGTGTGTTGGTCATAAAAGAGTTTGACATGCCACCTATGAACTGTTATCTAGTAAGCTAATAACTTAAGATCAGACTAAGTGTGTTGGTCATAATAGAGTTTGACATGCCACCTATGAACTGTTATCTGGTAAGCTAATACCTTATGATCTGACTAAGTGTGTTGGTCATAATAGAGTTTGACATGCCACCTATGAACTGTTATGTGGTAAGCTAATACCTTATGATCTGACTAAGTCTATAATACCTTATGATCTGACTAAGTCTGTTGGTCATAATAGAGTTTGACATGCCACCTATGAACTGTTATGTGGCAAGCTAATACCTTATGATCTGACTAAGTGTGTTGGTCATAACAGAGTTTGACATGCCACCTATGAACTGTTATCTGGTAAGCTAAAACCTTATGATCTGACTAAGTGTGTTGGTCATAATAGAGTTCACCTATATCTCAATAACCTGGTCATTAAAATCCATGTACTTTTAGCCACGGATGTTAAGCAGCTGCCAAACAATCCATTAATCATTAATATGACAGGAACATGTATGAAAATATTACCTTCCTCCCCTGTATTGTAGCCCTCCCCTAGGGAAGACAAAAACTGTGAAATAGTCTGACTTGGTGGCTGTCCCATAGCTGTTTGTGATACCATACTACCAATACCAGAAATAAGACGCGTAAATGCCTCATCAGTCATTACAGGTTGCTCTGAGGAGGCAGATGTACTAGTAGTACTTGTGTTTGTTGTACTTGATGCAGATGAGGTTGTTCTCTGTTGCTGAAAATTTAAATAGATAAGTTTCTGATTTATATTAAGAGTGGTTCTAGATCTAGAGCAGTTCATGAAATAACCTATCTCACAAAAAATATAAAAAAAAACAAAGAAAGAAAAGAAATCTTACTACATGTAATGCAAAAAAAAAGCATATTTATTTTCTTTAAAAAAAAATTTCTCCAAAAAAAACTACTGAAAAATTAGTAGGTTTCATCAAATTCTCAAACAAAGATAATCTATGATTATGATGTTTGCCTAATCATCAAATTGGCTTGATATGGTAGTTTCAAGCTATAGCAGACTGCAGAACAATAGCTTCACACCCTACTTTATTGTTGCCATTTCTGTGGAAATGTGGCCATTTTGAGAACAAAAGAACTTTTTTTAAACCTTAGGCATAAACATGGATTTCAATGTAAAGCTAAAGTGGTTGCTGACCAAATAGTTTGACAAATTCAGGGCTAAAAAGGAATACAAAATATAGTAAGAAATAGTGGAAACTAGAAATGTCCACTAATTTTGACTAATACCCCATCATCATGGATTGATGATTGAATATGCTAGTGAATCCATGAAGTTAATAATATAAATTTTTACTTTTTTATTTTTTTCAAAATGTTTTATTTGATGTCTCAGATGCATGTACCCTTTTAAGTATCACATGAAGTTTGAATGGTTGTGTTTCTGGACAAGAAATAGAGTTGATATAAAATTACCTGATTTAATTTATATATAAATTAGAATTAAAAAGGGCATAATTACAAAAAAACTCAATGGACTGTAAAATCCTACCCACATGCACATCGACATATTAGGATCTAACAACGTACAAAGTTTCAGAAAAATGCGATAAAACAAGAAGGAGAAGTTGCGATGACAAGTTTGGTTCTGAAAACTGAAGAATTTCTGAGGTGAAAAGAGCATAATTAAATAAACAGAACTAGATATCATTGAGATAAGAGCCATCTCTGTGGGCCCCGCTGTGAATAATGTGTGGTAAAAAATGTGCATCTTTATCATTGGACATGGGGTTGTCAACTGAAACCGAAGTTTATGACCTTGACCTTTGACCTAGGAAGTTGTACATACATTATGACACACCCTCTGGTGTTGGTTAATATACATGTCAAGTATAAACTTTGAAATCATAACAGTTCTCTAGATATAGAGCGGACACATTTTGTTAGGGACGGACGGACGGACGCATAGACTGATGGACGGATGGACGGACGGACGGACGGACGGACAGACTGATCACTATAGGGCGTCCGCCATTCGGCTGGGCCCTAATAAAAATTCCTTCACATGGTAATGTTTACATATCATGACATTTTATTCTAAAAAGTTTGAATGTATCAAACAAAGTATTAACAAGTTGGCCTGGACAGACAGATGGATGGACAGACAAGCTCATTCCTATATACCCCCCTAAACTTTGTTTGTGATGGGTATAAAAATACATAGAATACCAAACGAAAAGTCAACAATCATAACAATGCACCAAAATGTTTTTAAATGAAAATAAAATTGATCCACAACTAGCAAAATTGAGCCTTTGACAAACAGAATAAAGCAAAAGAACTTGACATAAATAGTTCACTTTCCTTTTTCAACATTTGTAATTACTGTAAATTCAGAAATAAATGTATGCAGTTATTGTCCTCGGCCTCTTGCAAAAATGCAAAATCTAATTAATGCTATTTAAAAAATTTTAAGATGGAAAATCACTTCTGATATTATAAATGCAAGTTTTCATTATTGCGAACCCGATGTTGTCGCAGTTTTCCCCCAAAAAAGACCATGGCAATAATTTCTGCATTTCCAGTACTACATGTACTTTATCATTTAACAATGTGAATTTTATAAAATAAACTAATCAACAAATTCACAAGAACCAAAGTTTGCTACTAGAAATCTATTAAATGCAGCTGGAATACCTTGATCTTGATTATAATGTTGATTTATATACTTACTGCAGAAGCACTCTGAAGGAAATCTCTCAACATGGTGGCAAAATTCTGGTCTCCTGGAGGTCCAGCAGATGATCCAGTCGGAGGTTGCTGATTTCCAGGTGGCCTTCTCTGTCCAGGTGGTGGCATCCCAAACATTGTAGAGAAGGCAGGCTGTCCATCCTGCATGCCTTGTATCTGTATACCAATAACACCAGGCATCTGTGATGAAGCTTCATGTAACATCTAAAGTACAGTAAAATTCAGTTACCGACAATGATGTTTTCAAAGTATCTTTTAATTTCATCAATTCTATCTATCATCAGTCACACCAAATAACCAATTCTGTTGCAAGTGGTCAATTTTGTTTTATTTATATTTCATTCAAGAGCTACTGTAAAACTTATTCCAATGTATTTTTTCGCAATAAAAACATCACAAAAACTTCTGAATTTAAAGTATTCAAAACATTTTCAAGCAGAATTAAGGCAAAAGCTTAAGCCATCTGAATAATATTGATTACAATAATAACTTACGGTTTGAAGAGCTCTGTACAAATTTTAAATTGAAACTTACAATTTACAAGAAAATTAGTGTGAACACTAAAATAGTTTCTGCTATAAGTAACTTGTAATCTCATAAGAGAATATTACCTGTACAAAAGGATCAGCTGACTGACTATTGTTTGTAGCAGGTCTAGGTCCTGAACCAGGGGTAGATGTTGTCTGTTGTTGATTTGAAGCAGCGGCACCAGTTGTTGCTGTTGTCTGTTGTTGATTAGCAGCTGCTGTGTTGGTTGGTGGTTGATTTGAACTAGTGGATGGTGGGTGATGAAGGTGAGTATTAGTTTCTTGCTGAAGTTGTTGCATAAAACCACTCAACATGTTATTTATGTATTCTTCCTGGAAAACAATAGCTAGTTTTCAAGAATTAGATAGCAAGATTTTATAATGCAAACTATTCATTTCAATTTTCTCTTGAACTATTTAGAACCTGCATTCAATACATAACCAGTCTGTAACAAAATTTAAACTGAAATGTCAGTATCTAGCAAACTACTTTTTGAATAGTTGAAAACTTACCACAAATTTTTGTCAGCATGAAATTAATTTCACTATTTAGATTTACACTATTTCTAAAATCCAAGGAGCATGTATCCCTCACCTGGCATTTTTGCATTAAATTGATACAATGCAATAAAAATATTTGTGTTGAATGGAAGCAGTGTGGGCCACATTTTAAATGGACCAATTTTTGGTCTATTTAACAATGTCTTCCAACACAATGGCCAATAAAATGCTCCGCTGGGGCGCAGCTTGATACGACCGCAGAGGTCGAACCCTGAACAGTTGGGGCAAGTATGGACACAACATTCAAGCTTGATACAGCACTGAATTTGGATTGTAATTAAATATTTGACACAGCATAGGTTTCTGACACAGAATGAAAATGGTCTAAGAACTTAAAAATTTTCAATTTACCTATTCATACATGTGATGGACTGTGAAACTCAGATCAGGAGATTGGGAAATTTTGGTCAGGAGATTAGGACTCAGATCAGGAGGTTTTTAATCGACATTAATTTTGTTGTAAATGTAACCGTGTGCTGTAAAAATGGTCTTTTAAAGTGTGTTTTCTTCAACTTTCCATCCAATTTATTATGTTTATAGTACCCTTGTAGTTATAAAGTTTCTCCATCTTTATATTCTACATGTTCAATCTAACATTGTTTTTTTCCAGTATGTTCTTTAAATTTTTTACTTCATATTCTATAAAACAATCATTGCAACCAGAACATTTGTTTACCTTTCTGCAAATAGTTTTTATTTTTTTTTTTTCTCTTGCAAAAAGTTTTTATTTGCAAACTCAGATAATCATTCTTTCTGAAAAATTAGGGTCATAGTTATTATATAAATTTCAATTTAAGCCTTGAAAGGAAGTATAGAATCCTCAAATAATTTTCAAATTATTATTTTTTTATTTGTCCTAAGACATTTAAAATCATTTAATAACCATCCTTTTATGATTATTTGTTCAATTTATATTTTATTTATATTCTTTTAAAAATTTTTATTATTAAAAGGAAAGTAACTTAAAACAGGATAAATCAAGGGAAGTAACCCAATAAATACACAGTTTTTGTTACACAACGGCAGTTAGCCTGAGGTAAAAATCGTTGATTACCTGTATGTTTGACACCCAAGCTGACAAGTGAAGCCATATAATTATGCATGTTAATTGATTTACAGGTAAAATATAACTTCAGGTAATGTCAGTTACACCAGATGCCTGAGATGATGTGTTGGGCAGAAATTTTTCATTCATGAAAAATTTCATACACAGGATTTTTTCCTCTTCAACGGGAGGTCGGGAGGAGACCCCTGAAAACGGGATTATTGAACTCCCTTCGGGAGGTTAACATGTATGCCTATTCAAACCATATCATTATTATTTGCTTTTATATATAAATCAGAAATAACCAATTTAAAATGGAAAATGTTAAAGAAAAAAAGGAAAAAAAAAATCCCCCCCCAATTTTTTGAGCCCCCTTATGATTCATCACCCCCAAACTCAATCCCAGCTTTCCCTTTGTGGTATGGTACCTTGCAGTACAATTTCAGAGAGATTCATACACTTGAACACAAGTTATTGTCTGGAAACTAGAAAAATGCTTGTTTTTTGGCCCCTTTTTGGCCCCAAATTCCTAAACGTTTAGGGCAATTACCCCCAAACTCAATTCCAGCTTTCCCTTTGTGATATGGAACCTTGCAGTACAATTTCATAAAGATCCATACACTTACACACAAGTTATTGTCCTGAAACTAGAAAAATGCATGTTTTTTTTTGCCCTTTTATGGCCCCTAATTACTAAAATTTTTAGGAAAAACCCCCAAAATCAATCCCAGCCTTCCCTTTGTGATATGGAACCTTGTAGTACAATTTCATAAAGATCCATACACTTACAAACAAGTTATTGTCATGAAACTAGAAAAATGCTTGTTTTTTGCCCCTTTTTGGCCCCTAATTCCTAAAATTTGGAGGAAATTACCCCAAAAATCAATCCCAGTATTCCCTTTGTGATATGGAACCTTGTAGTACAATTTCATAAAGATCCATACACTTACAAACAAGTTATTGTCATGAAACTAGAAAAATGCTTGTTTTTTGCCCCTTTTTGGCCCCTAATTCCTAAAATTTGGAGGCAATTACCCCCAAAATCAATCCCAGCATTCCCTTTGTGATATGGAACCTTGTGGTACAATGTCAGAGAGATCCATACACTTACACACAAGTTATGTCTGGAAGTTACAAAAATGCTTATTTTTGGCCCCTTTTGGCCCCTAATTCCTTAACTGTTAGTACCATAACCCCCAAAATCAATCCCCACCTTCCTTTTGTGGTATTGAACCTTATGGTAAAATTTCATTGAGATCAATTCACTTAAACTAAAGTTAGAGTGCGAAAACTAATGTGTCTTCGGACGACGACGCCGGACGACGACGACGACAACGACGACGACGCCAACGTCATACCAATATACGACCACAAAAAATTTTTTGCGGTCGTATAAAAATGGATTAAAACTGTGATTTAGGGGCAACAACTACTGTAATAGGTTTATTGATGATTTCATTCTTGTGACTAATTTGTAGAATTTGTGTTGTTTTTCAATTTGTTCAAAGTTTCAGTCTAATCTCTCCATCACTGATAGTTTTAAAGATATTAGGTAAAAACACTAAAGTTGGTTAAAAAAAATCATCCTTCAAGAGCAATAACTCCTATAAGGGGACAATTTTACCATGCTGATTTATTTGTACAATTTTTTTACAATGGAACACGGACCCCAAGTGATAGCCAAAGCTCACACTGGCCCTTAGGGCTAGGTGAGATTATAATTTTCATTCAAGGGCAATATCTTCTATAAAGAGTTGATTGATATGATATCAGATATGTTGACTTGTTTGAAGATAAAACCTTACCAAAAAATTGTAAAAATTGTCATTTAAGGGCAATAACTCCTTTAAGGTTAAAATGGACAATAGGTAGATCATGATATTCTCAACATTTCTGCCCAGTCATATTTCTCTATCTATAACAGATTTAAAGATATTAGACAATACTTGCATTTACCCCAATATACAATTTTTTGTGTTGGTGGCCATGTTGGTTGGCAAACAGGATCATAGAACAAATGTTTTAACTAGCTCCCCAAGAATGATTGTGGTCAAATTTTTTCAAGTAACTGAAGAGGATTTCTGAAGGCTGTATAGAAAATATGAACATTTTCAACAAGCTATTTAAGAGTTGGACTTGGGCTTGTAATATTTTAGTCTGTCTGTTTGTCCATCTGCCTTGTAGATGGACAAACAGATAGACAAAAATAATCCCTCAACCAAGATACATAAACTATTTACAAACATGCACCTACTTTTGAAGTCTATCTGTGATACTAGGAAAAGGACAGTTAAGAATCTACATGTATAATTGTCACATATATTACCATTGACAAATAAAAATTTCCAGTATCTAACCTGATTATTTTCTCCATTTGGTTGTCTGTTTCTTCTGGCTTCATCCCTTTGTAGCCTGAAGAAATATCGAGATGAACAAGGAAGATGACGATCCACAGAGGGAGGAAAACCTGGTAAACCAGGCATGCCAGGCAATCCAGGCATTCCACCAATAGACATGCCTGGTGGTAATCCAGCTCCAGGAACACCAGGCATAACAAAGGCTGTAGTTCTTGGTCTTCCAGGTGTTTGTGTTTGTGTTTCAGAAGTGTTTGCTGTTCCAGTCTGGGTACCAGAAGAGTTTGATTCAGCATTACTTGTCTGTGTACCTGATGCACTTGTTGATGGGGTTGCTGTAGTACTGAAACCTGATGGAACATTCATTCTACCAATACCAGAACCTGTAGGAAATCGAGAAAATCGAGCTCTTGGAGAACCAGATTGACCAATTTCTATCTGTACTGCGTTAGATGGCCCAAATCTTGGACCTGAATAATGATAGTATTACATAGTTTCAAATGGCAAACACTTTTAGATCTGTTCCAGTTTTACGTACACATGCAAAAGTCATGCACAGCCTACTCTTTTGGGTCTTCTTATATGATTAAATAATAAAGTATAATAAAGTATATCAACAGAAATCTTGCAAGATAATTTTATAGCATATAGTTCTACATTTGGAATTTAGAATAAACAATGCTGATTTTAAAATGCTAACTTTATAAGAATCAAGCCATTCTTCATTCTTTATGTTGAGAAACGTGGATGAGCAAATGTAACTGACCATAAGGGGAAATACTCATTGAATACCAACTATAGTGTGTGATAACATTTTGTGAGGGAATTCGATGTTTGCTATACCAAGATTCATTTCAACGCACTTTATGACAATACCACTACACCAATCAGAATGAAATTTTTTGCAGTGTTTTAAGAAACGATTTTACTTTGTATCCATGTATTATTTGTGAAACAATAAATGTTTTAAAAGGGTGAATTTTCTGTATAAAGTCAATAATTATGTAGACTTTTGAAGCCCAAACTTTCTATTGCCTTAAATACGCAACTTAAAGATCCAAAAACTATACCAATACAGAAAGACATGTTTTTAAAATTATAGCAAAACTTTTGGTTGACAAATTTTTATTCATTACAAAAAATGAACTTAAAATATCTGTCATTTTCTCCCTACCAAGTTTACCCCTATTACTTATTATGAAGTGGACTAGTAATTGTTATTGAATTTTACACAATTTGATTGGATTAAGTTATTATTGATTTACCTTTAAACTGTTGAAATTTTTCATACATGTATATTGAACGTGCATTAATGTAACAATAAAGAGGAACAGTCTGTGCCTTATTTATTTATTTTTTTTAATTTATTAAGCTGAAAATATACAACAAATTGTATTTGATAAATTTGTTATCTTAAAACTGAATTATAATTGCTTTTCTTTTTACATGTACACACACGTGTACAGTTATTAAATGACCTTCAAACTGGACAGTGGGACTCTCCGTATTATTTTTTATCAATGAAAATAAAGGTATGAAAGGTAAGAATTGCGACTTCTTATATTTTCACAAAATTTTCCACATGTAGAGTAGATAAACTATTTTTTAATAGCCTATTCCCCAGAAAAAAAGAGAAAATTAATAAATACGTTTTATTCCATTAAACATGTCATTTTTCGAGGAGAAATGCCGAAACACATATTACGCACGGCTATGCCAGGTAAAATTATTGTTTATCTTTACAAAAAAAAATCATTTTTCAGGCTCATTAAAATGTTATATTTACAATTAATCCCAAAAGAAAAGTAGTCAGTAAATAAAGTCAAAATATGTCCCATCTGCCTATTTTATGGACATCAAAATTCAATACGTTTGTTTTACGGTCAATTTCGTCTACCTCACAAAATCTTGTTAGGCACTATAATCAACTATTTAAAAAAAAATCTACAAAAGAAATTGAGCTAACAGATATGAACCTTTCCTTATTCAAGACCTTGGTATCAATGAAATGCAAGCATAATTAAATTGTTGTTTCTGATGATGTTTGAATCTTTCATATACTGACTGATTTGAGAAGAGATAAATACTCGAATGTATTCTAACCAGATTACCTCCCCTGGCGATTCCACCAAGAACTGAGTTAACTATACTGTTGATCAGATCATTAGTAACAGGTCCAGCACCTTCTGGCAGTACCTGGTGTGTTGTAGTTGTGCCTAAATCATAAAATTCACAGTAGTAGTTCTGAATATATTTGAAGTCTTCAATTTATGAGAAATGTATCACAGTAAAGTTAAACAAATCAGAAGAATGTTATTGCATATCTGCCAACTTTCACGATATGGGCGTGAACTATGTGATTTTGACCCTTTTTCACGATTGTTTGAAACTTTGGAGTTGTAATCATCTTTCTATATTTTACTATTGTAAAAATCGTCATCATGGTGAACAAATTATCATTTGCAAGAAGGTTTTATGGTGACTAAGAAGAAATGGGTAGCTGATTAACTAATTCAAAGATAAGGATATCACATGCCTTTTGAAACTTCTGCAAATTATAGAGCCATGGTGGCCTGAATGACGATTCAAAGCATGCAAGCAATGTTAACTTTATCAGAAAAAAGTACATTAGTGCATTTTCCAGTACAGTGCTTAAGTTCTTACGCCACAGTTAGTCGATTGTTCAATGAAATTTACACTGATTGACCTCAGGTATCTCATCTATAAAAAGCATATGACGTGGGAGTATGATAAGAACAGCCAAACAAATCATGATGTTGCTGATCAGCTGACAAACTATATATATTTGCATTTCACCACAGGTGTGTTTTCAATGCTTTTAAAAAACGTCATACTAAAATATTCCTTTTACCTGTATTTCCTGATGAAGTTGTTGGATTTTCTGATTCTGTTATTATTTGAGCTGTTACACTGCTGACAGAAACTATTTCAGGTCCCATTTCAATAAACATAGGTGTAGTGCCACTATCTGTTGTACTAACTGGTTGTGAACCTGCTGTTCCAGAAACAGTGGTAGGTTGTGTTGATGCCTGTAGGAAGAAATTATAAATTGTAGCACAAGTATAATTAAAAGATTATTTCTGAAATCTAACAACTTATAACCAAACAAAAAAAATTCTTGCCTGTATTTAATCAAATAGTTTTTCTACAAATTTAAATGTATCTTTATCTGTTGTACTTTTGCAATTCCTTTTTTCAGTAATAAAACTTACATTAGAACACTCACATTGAACAGGCAAAGGCAGAATTACGGCCTTAGTTTTTTGCTTCATAATATCTATGTTGTTTTGGAGAAAACAATAGTCAATTGATTCTTATTTTGATGGGGACTTACTGGGCCCTTCTTATTTCTTCAAAGGGACTTTTCCTTTCTTACTGTTAATTTTCCTTTTCTTGATGGTGATGATCACATGGCTCCTTCTTATGAAGTGTACATTTTCCCATTAATTTTAATATGTGCATATTTGCATTATGTCTTAGATTTCAATAAGATTTTACCGCAGGGATATAGATATCATAAATTGGTCCAAAATTTTACTTAACATAACCACAAATATATAGATTTATTTGGGAGCATGATTCCATCTGTGAGGACTTTAATAAAAGTGGTATTTCACACCAAACTTTTTACAGATATATCATTTATAATACTTATAATACTAACAGAATTAGGAATTGTACTTTAAATTATTCTTTTTGGCCTCAACAGACTTATACAGAATATAATACTGTTGTTCAATCATTTCGTATTGGTATTTTTGGGGATCAATTCACTTATTCTTAAATTGAAACACTTATATTTCTTTTGTTTTTCTTCAATGAAATTCTGTACATTTTTGTTATGGGCATTGCACTTGATTGAGCCTTCCTGCACCATTTATGACCATCTATCCTGAAGTACAGCCATGCATATTTGAGAGCTGTACATGATGATTTCATATCACCAGGTTAAGCTGTTGGTTTTGTTTTCAGTTAACTGTAAGCATTCCTTATTAAGGTATCTTTCATTATTGTTTTGTTTTCAGTTAACTGTAAGCATTCCTTATCAAGGTATCCTTTATCATTGTTTTGTTTCAGTTAACTGTAAGCATTCCTTATCAAGGTATCTTTCATTATTATTTTGTTGTTTTTGTTTAGATGATCTATTACATCATTATCATATAAGTTCTTCTCCTGTACTTATTTTATTTTAAGTTATTTTCTAAGACCTTTTGTTAGTTCACAAATTGAGACCTAAAAAAAATAGTTTAACTCCACACATTTGCATGTGCTGTCCCCCCAAGTCAGGAACCTGGTCAGATGTTGTCTTTCGTTATATCGTAATTTTTTTTGGTGATGATGGCAGATATGTTAACATGTACTCACAACTTTTTTTTTGTGGTGATTTAGAGTTTGAAAAGTTGTAAGCAGCATTTTTTTTATGGGCACTTTATGGATAAAACTAGAGGATTCTAAATATCTGACAACTCAAAAAATAGAGTAGCAAACATCCTTAAAAAGTTGAGGAAAATATAATCCACATGTAAAATAAAACTTAAGAATAATTTGTTTTAAAAGTCATAAACTTTTTACTTGTTCTTGAGATTCAGCTGTTACTGATGTTGATGTTGCAGCTGATGATGTTGGCACGCTTGACTGGGTCCCAGTTGAACTGGTTACTGGCTGACTTGACTGAGTCCCACCTGTACTTGTAGGAACACTGGATTGTGTACCAGATGTTCTTTGTACTGCAGGTCCAATATTAATCTGTGCCTAAAATATGGATTGAACATACATTTTCAAAATGCATTTATAATATTGAAAAGAATAGGAGCTAGTGCCAGAAATTTACTATTTGTAAATTGAAATCTTATAGTTTTGGTTTTGTTAATTGTTTTTTTACCAGTCATCCAAAGTAAACATACACAATTTTTGTTTTAATGGTAGCAACTAAAACTTCCTCAATTTCAATATACTTCTTTCTTTTATTTGGAACCACATGTAAAACTATTAACTTTATGAGGGTTTTCCCCATGGTATTTCCAGAGAGGGTAGAAATATGAATAAACAAAATTAAATAAATTTTGAAAATAATTTTTCTATCTGACTGGTCACTATTAATACTATTAACTTTTATTAGTATGCATATGTCCTTTTTTGTTTTTGGCTTACTCTGACTGGTATAGTCTGCTGAATAACTGCTGTAGTTGGTACCTGCTGTGAAATGAATGCAGCATACAAGTGTCTAGGAGGAGGCTGACTTAGGTCAATCATAAGGTCACTCAGACTATGGTAGCTGTGACTGATGGTATGAAGAATTTCTCCAACTAAATTACACAATTCTTGTGCTTCTGTTAAGGCCTGTAAAGATATAACAGTAATTCTAATGCAATTTGCTTGTAACAACAATTTTGATTGGAGGATGCCATATATTTTGAGGGGGTAAAATCCGCAGTTAACCTGTTGGAATGCTCTTAGCATCCTCACAGAAAACATTTTTGTATACAAACAAATATTCAACAGACATGAATAAACAAATGCATAAGAATAGAAATACCCTTAACGTATTAAAAAAACTCATTTTAGATTTTATGTTGCAAATCTTTAAACCTATATAAAACTCAATATTTGGCAAATTCATCTTTGATTTTACATTTGAGAATATTTCAGTTTATAACTCAATTTGTGACAGTAGATTGAATGATTGAAGTCAGTAAGTATCATAGATACAATACAGTTATCCCTGCTTAAGTTGGTTGCTGTCTGTCATATTTATATTTTCTTTAATTGTTTTGTCATAATTCATGGTGTTGGTTTTCTTGTTTGAATTCACATTTTGTCATTTCAAGGCTTTTTATAGATGTAGTTGACTATATAGCTTGGATTTTGCTCATTGTTAAAATCTATCTGTGTCATTTCACTTTGGTGGATAGTTGTCTCATTTGCAATAATGCTGAATCTCCTTATTTCTACATATATGTACAAGTATCTTGCAATTTCGAATATTCTATTATTTTGCTCTGGATACAAAAAAGCTTCTGTCTAACTTATGTAGAAATTCAATGAGGGTTTACTAAAAAAAACAACCTTAGACTGTATCTTAATCTTAAATGTAAAAAATCCTTAGACTGTATCTTAATGCCAACTGTAAAAAAACTTAGACTTTATCTTAATGTTAACTGTTAAAAAAAAACTTAGACTGTATCTTAATGTTAACTGTAAAAAAACTTAAGACTGTATCTTAATGTTTACTTTAAAAAAAACTTCGACTGTATCTTAATGTTAACTGTAAAAAACTTAGAGTGTATCTTAATATTGACTGTAAAAAAAACTTAGACTGTATCTTATTACAAACCAAATGAAACTCTCCTACAGTCATCTCCTCTTGGTCAAGGTATCTAAACTTTTGTCAGTTCTATTGTCCCAGTGAATAAATACAATAACTATTGTTTTCTGTGTAGTTTATTCACTGGGACATTTATATTTCTTCTAAGAGAAATCCATCACTCATTGATTAATTTACCTGAAGCAAAATTATCTTCTGAGTAGATGAAAATACATGTAATCAACTCATAAAACTGCATGTGATGTTGTACATTTTTTATTTTATTAAAAATTTTGTCAGAAATCAACTTTTTATGATTAAATAATTGTATTTATTGAACAGATTGAAAATACATTATTGATATTGAATAAATACAATATCACATGCAGTTTTGTGAGTTGATTACATGAATTTTCATCTACTCAGAAGATAATTTTTGCTTCAGGTAAATTAATCAATGAGTGATGGATTTCTCTTAGAAGAAATTTTAAAGGTCCCTGTGAATAAACTACACAGATAACAGTAGCTATTGTAATATTCAATGGGACAATTGAACTGACAAAAGTTTAAATACCTTGACCAAGAGGAGATGACTCTGTGGAAGAGTTTCATTTGGTTTGCAATAATGTTATCTGTACAAAAAAAACTAAAAAAAAGTTAAGTCCATTTATCAGTAAAATACTGAAAAATAAAAATAAAATATTTTTTTATTATTTTGCTCTGGACACTGTCTTTTGGTCATAAAAAAGCTTCTGTCCAAATTTCATAAAATTCCAAATAGGTTTGACAAAGTAATTGATGTCTGAAAAAATAAATGGGGAATGTGTCTGATGGACACAGATGATGCCCCCACTTGCATATCATATAAAGTTATAAAGGGACATTACTGAAGAACGGTAAAAGTGAAATTCCCAAATTTGAACTTGATCTGAGTTTTGTGGTAATAAGTATTGTGTATAAGTTTCATAACATTTGGTTGAGGCAAACTAAAGTTAGAGAAAGGAAACAAAAAATTCAGCAATTTTTACATTTTTAAAGGGGCATAACTTTAGAACAGTAAAAGTGTCACCACCAAAATGCAAACTTAATCCATATTTTGTGGAAATAAGCATTGTGTATAAGTTTCATAACATTTGGTTGAGGCAAACTTAAGTTGGAGAACGAAATGAAAAATTCAGCAATTTTTCCATTTGTAAATGGGCATAACTCTGGAACGGTTAAAGTGACAACACCAAAATACACACTTGATCTGTATTTTGTGGTAATAAGCATTGTGTTTAAGTTTCATAACACTAGGTTGAGGCAAACTAAAGTTAGAGAACGGAAACGAAAAATTCAGCAATTTTTCAATTTGTAAAGGGGCATAACTCTAGAACGGTTAAAGTGACGCCACCAAAGTTCAAACTTGATCTGTGTTTTGTGGTTATAAGCATTGTGTATAAGTTTCATAACATTAGGTTGAGGCAAACCTAAGTTAGGGAACGGAAACAAAAAATTCAGCAATTTTTCAATTTGTAAAGGGACATAACTCTAGAACGGTTAAAGTGACGCCACCAAAGTTCAAACTTGATCTGTGTTTTGTGGTAATAAGCATTGTGTATAAGTTTCATTACATTTGGTTGAGGCAAACTAAAGTTAGAGAACGGAAACCAACTTTGGGATGTACGGACTGATGTACTTACGGATTTACAGACAGACAAGGGGGCATAAAAACTTTAACCATAGACTGAATGTAAATGTTGACACAGCTGACGACAACCACAGAATCTAGGATCACTATATCAGGTGAATTGGGCATAACGCTTTTAAAACTTTAAAAAATATTATACCTGTCCTTCAAGTGGCCTATCTTCTCTTGTTATTGTTTGATATCTTTCTAGGAAAGGTTGTAATCTCTGATTCACCTCTAGGACTTCCTGTAAAACTTCTGCTACTAAAGTAATCGGAGGCCGTCTGAAAAATATGCAAGGAAATGAATTGTTTTGAGATTTTCTAAACACTATTTCTTTTTTTTGTAAGACATTGAAGAAGAAGAAAGAAGAGCAACAAAATACAGTGTCTTTCATCAGTCTTTTTCAGGCAATGTCACAAAATGATTTTTTTACTTATTTATTAACAGACATATTAGATTGACAGATGATTGAAGACAGTTCATCTGTTTGTGATGTTCATTTCTAAACAGCAACTAATCAAAAGGGGGAGGTATGGTAAGAGAATTTATTTGGTCCCTGAAATTGCAAAAAACAATATTATTTTCCACTCCTTTCATAATTATGTCTATTTTATTGATGAATGGATTGGATTATACAATCTGGACACTTTTGTCCAGCAATACAATTGAAATGTCCTTATGATGTCATAAACATGTAGAAATTGACACATTGACCTCAATTGCTATCATACACATAATTTCTACCAATTCAAATTTAACAGCTTTACCTAAGATATTTTACTGACATTAGCATCTTTTCGGGTAAGGTTGTAGCCATTATATCCAAATATCTATGACAAGATATCAAAATGAGGCTATTTGGCAGTTGTGGCAGTTTTGCATAAAAACAATCTGATTCAAATACAGATCCTATTTCCATGCTTTGCTTACATGGATCTGACAACACTTTGTTCTACTTTCTGTTCTGGTAATTATTATGACAGCCAATGAAATTTCAACCTCCAAATTTTTAGGATGTGCATCAATGCAAAATTCCAGAAATGTCTTTAAAACAGAGAGTATAAAGGAGAGTTGTCAGATACTTGTAAGTGAAGCATTGATACTGGATCAGTTTTTCAATGAGATTTGCATAAAAATGCAAAAAATTTGAAGCCTTTAACCAAATATGTAAGACATGATTTCAAATGTAGAAACTTACCGTAATCGGGCTTGTATAGTTCGCACTGGTACATAGTCCGCACCCCCTTCTCCCCACGAAATTTCAGGTAAAAAAACTTTGTGTAACTGTTAGAAAAGGTCTAATGAAACTTCGGTAATTTTAAATCGTGTGTGGTCGTTTGCGAAAAACCTATTTTCCATCACCAAACAGAAGCTGAAACTGCTTGTAAATGGTTCTAAAACACTTCACGCTGGTTAAAATAAGTCTTAATCACACAAAAAACAATTTAGAAACTTGTGTATGTTTAAACCGGAAGTTTGAAAAGCACGTGTAAAAGATGAAAAAACCCGGTGAGAGTCGAAATCCGTACATAATAGATATCACTATAATACGACTTTGAAAGTAAAACAGTTCCCTCCTTATGTAAAACAGTGTTTAATATATCTATCACATTAATGTTTGAAGGGTCTTAAGCTAATACAAAACATATTTGTCAATAGGAAACACTAAAACGGAATGAATAATAACCAATTACGTTTTGTAGTTTACACATGGTAAGCTGGTTTACGGTTGTCTTTTTTTTACTTTTTTTGTAAGATTTCATTCAAGTAGATACCAGTTTATACTTAGCAATGCATTGAAAAGAAATGAGAATTTTGTAATGAAGCATTTAATTTTTAAATTTATCAGTATTAATTTGATATTGAATAAAAATAACTTATTAATATGGATGGGTAAAATTATTGGTTTGAAAAATGATAAAAGCGCCCTCTACAATGTCAATAACAAACATGGCGGAACATAAACAAACCACATCGCGAAATCTAAATTTTCTCTTATTTCTTGCTTATTGTACTATATAGTCCGCACCCCTGCTGTCAGGGTCAATTTTGGAGAATAAAACCGCGGACTATACAAGCCTTTTAACGGTATATCTGAAAAACCAATGTCTTTTGAACATCTGAGGGAACCTAATAGTGACCTCATCATAACTTCTCCTTTACCTTTAATTCTAAATTACAGTTTACTATCATATTGAATCACATTTCCCCATATACAACACCTTTGTTTTACGAGGTGTTTAAAACTGCCTCAATGATAAAATAGATAAGTATGAAAGGCTGAAAAAATTTTTACTCACATTAAACCAGGTGGATGAGGTTGACCTTGACCTTGACCTCCTGTTGCTTGACTACCACTAGATGAAGGTGTCTCTGTTGTCGTTGTCCCAGTTTCTTGTGATGTCTGACTTCCATCTTCAGTCCGACTATTGCTTGTTTCTGCAGCAGTCTGTGATGGAGTACTTGCCTCGGTTTCCATATCCTCTGAATCTCTTTCCCTATCATTGTCTGTTTGTGGGGTAGTTGTGTTTGGTCTTTCTGATTCAGATTCTTCCATTGTGGCTGATCTTTCTGATTCAGATTCTGCCATTGTGGCTGATCTTTCTGATTCAGATTCTTCCATTGTGGCTGATCTTTCTGATTCAGAGCCTTCCATTGTGGCTGATCTTTCTGTGTTAGATCCTTCACTACCACCAGAAGCTTGTCCTATGTTCTATTAGTGGTGAAAATGTAAAGAAAAACTTTGATGATTAATATTATTCTACTATCAATTCAAACATATCATTAGTAAACAAATATATATACAATAATGAAATTATTATTTCACAACTATCCAGACAAAAATATGTTTACTCCTCTAAACATCAGGTTTTTATGGTAGTTTGTATTTATAGATTATCGTTGATCATCTCAACGAGATTGATATTCTCGCTTGAGCAGGTACAGCGAAAGCGAGAAAAGCAATCGAGTTGAGATGACCAATGATAATCTGTTTATGGCTATTTTACCTATGACGACGTTGTCAATTTCATGTCAATTTTATTAGCAACGGCACATGCCCCCTTAGTTTCTAGCTATAATTTTCATATCACTGGACTCCGCTGAGAAAGGAAATTATCAGTCAGTAAGATCAAAGGAAATTTTCGTAAAATAGCGATAATTTCTAATCTTTAGTTTTCAGCCTTGTTTGTTCAAATCATTATGTATTTAAATTGCATGCTAGTCTCCATCTCTCTGGGCTTTTATTGGTTTTGTGTTGTAACATGGTATTATGACATTTTAATTTTCATTGTTATACAGTTACTTAGTCTAACTAATATATAAAATAACAAATTCTAAACCCCCCAAAAAATTAAATCTTTCAATAGTTTGTATTGTTGCATGTTTGAAACCCTTGAATTATAATTCAAACCATGCATGACACAATGGACGATTTACAATTCATGAAAAATACTATTTTTAAAATAGCATACACAAATGAATGAACTATAAAAAAATTATTAAACTAAAATTCTGACCTATATCAAGACTATCATTTCCATTCAAAACCTTTAATTATCAATCCTCAAATTATTTCTATTTTTAAATGAAATTTTCTGTTTCTAATTTTTCAATTATTAATTATAAGAGTAATTTTAAACCACAGAGGAATAACTAAAAAGTAGCTGTCCTGAATGCTATACAGCAGGTCATTGTAAAATATAGGATCTATAGGTCAATTCCATACAGGCACAATATTTTCATTATGTTCGTTGTTTGGATTTATAAGAACAAGTAACGTAAAAGAAACTTGGATCGATGTATAAGGATTCACATCGTCATTTTACATATCTAAGATGTGCCCTTTGGCATTTATGTTGCTTAGACTTACAAGTATCGTTATGGGTATAAAGAACAATAAAGAAATGTTTTGGTAAAGTTTAAGTTTAACAAATAATAATATTCAACTAAGTTACAAAGTTTTAGATTATACTAAACAGAATTAACTGAAAAATAAAATTTTCCTTTTACATGTTGCTCATGATAAACAGCCTGATCAATATATATATAAGCTCCATATGCAGATGGATAGAGCTAATTATTAATCTATATTATTCGAATTTTTATGTCAATAGACCTGCTCTTTTTATTAATTACAAAACTAAAATAGTACTAATTAAAAATATAGACCTCAAGTCTGGTTATCTGTTCTCTGGCCATCTGTAACATACGTCTGGCATTATTGATGCGGAGTTGTGACTCGCTCTCCACTCTTGCTGGACCTCCTACTTGACCCAGATGTATGTGGACATCTACTGAAGAACCATCATTCTGTAATTATATAGAAAACACAAGTATATTAAACATAGGCATTAACATTTGACATTTCTTATCAATGGACAAGATTTTAAACTGCTCAGATTCACAATTTTTACTGAAAAAAAGGTTTCTAAAAAAAAACCATAGGCTTCAATTATTTTACATACTTTTAAAAAATTAGATATGATTGATTTCAGTTCATATTTTGATTCAAATGATATTATAAATACTCACAGAAGCTCTTGTTGATACCCTGGCATTCCTGCCCATATCGCCCATGTTCTGAACAGCATTCTGAACAATTTGCTAAAATTATAAATTTTGCACATTTATTTCAATAACCATTTTTACTTGGACAATAAAATATATCTTTAAAAGTTCACATGATAGTGAACATGTGTACTTAGTTTCAAGTTGATATGATCTCAATTTCATGGTCAACTACCTAAACCCAAAACTTAAACCTGATACAGATCAGACTATCAAACTGACAGATATGGCTTAAACCTGATACAGATCAGACTATCAAACTGACAGATATGGCTTAAACCTGATACAGATCAGACTATCAAACTGACAGATATGGCTTAAACCTGATACAGATCAGACTATCAAACTGACAGATATGGCTTAAACCTGATACAGATCAGACTATCAAACTGACAGATATGGCTTAAACCTGATACAGATCAGACTATCAAACTGACAGATACGGCTTAAACCTGATACAGATCAGACTATCAAACTGACAGATACGGCTTAAACCTGATACAGATCAGACTATCAAACTGACAGATACGGCTTAAACCTGATACAGATCAGACTATCAAACTGACAGATACGGCTTAAACCTGATACAGATCAGACTATCAAACTGACAGATACGGCTTAAACCTGATACAGATCAGACTATCAAACTGACAGATACGGCTTAAACCTGATACAGATCAGACTATCAAACTGACAGATACGGTATGAGTTTTACTCATTGAAGGTTCATATTGTGCTAACTTTTACCAAATTTGGTTAATGGTGGAGAGTTGTCTCATTGACAACCATACCACATCTTAATTGTTTTACACAGACCAGAAAATATAATGGCTCTGTACTATTGAGGTGGGGTGTTAAAATTTTAATTCTCCGAAAATTTCTAAATTGTTATTTTAGTAATAAAATGATTTTCTTGTGTTTTAATGAATAGAAGATATATTTTTGGTTTTAGGGCAATTGTTGTTCCATATTTCTTTTGCCTTTATCCGTTCTTATAAATACTTGGTTTTCAAATATTCTGTTCTGAGAGTTTCTGATGAAAGTAAATCCAGAAAAGCCCTTCAGATGCAAGAAATTTGTAACGTGTTGTTTTCAAATTTTTTCGAAAGATGACTGTATTTACTAATGAAAAAGACTTACCTGTACTTGATTAGGGTCAATAATGTCTGATGGTATTGTGAATGAACCAACAACATAGCTATTGACATCACCTCTGGGTGGACCTGGGGTAGGGCCAGGTGATGGTGTACTTGTTGATGTGCCACTTGCTCCAGATTGCCTTGCACTAGGCGGTGGCTTCTGAACAACATGTATAACTTTTCCATGAACATCTACAAAAAAAATCAGTTTTGAACAAATGTTTAACCATATTTGGAAATTAATGTGTTCATTTCTTAATCATTAAGTAGACTGAAATACTACATTCATAAATATGACTTAGATAAATTTCTATCTGAAATATGCATAATTTCTGAATCCACAGTACATATATATAGTATATTCATTGCATTCAAGTTAACTTGAACACAGTAATAAAACATTTCTTTATATACAATGTCTTACCATAATCTTTTAACAGTTTTTCATCCTGCAAAACACGTCCTTGGAAGATTAGTCTCTGCGTTTCTGCATCAATATTCTGAAATATACATTTATAAGAAATAAGAAGATGTGGTACGAGTTTCAATGAGACATGTACAACTCTCCATCCAAGTCACAATGTGTAAAAAGTAAACAATTATAGGTCAAAAAACGGCCTTCAACAGCAAGCTATAAAGGGCCCCAAAATGACTAGTGTAAAACAATTCAAACAGGAAAACCAACAGTTTAATCTATATAAAAAACGAGAAACGAGAACCACTTAAGAACCACATCAACAAACAACAACCACTGAAACAGGTTCCTAACCATGGGTAATTGATATCTGAATCAATAACAATTAAATTGTCATTGTTAGCAATTTAAAGGAACATTATTTGAATTTCAATTTAATGCAGCCCTTCGATAACCTCTATTTATATAACTGATTACTGAAAATTTCAAAAAAGTTTGGTTCACTAAAACAATATGGTCCACTAAAACATTAACTTTATGGTATCTGAGTTCATTATTTTGTAAACATAAAAAGATGTAATATTACCATAAAGACTCCATCAACAATCCATTCATTTTCACTTAATACTAAATTTCATTCTTCCAAAGCAAGGTGTTCCTCCACTCCACAACAATCTCTCATCTTGTCTCAAAGTTCATTTTCAGTATGCCTTTTTAAACTGGCCAGTAAAATTCATTACCAAACTAAGCAGAGGACATGTATACTATAGCTCTATATAATTTCTGGCTAAATTTGTGTAATATAAGAACTGTGAGTTACAGTTGTCCCGGCAATACATATATATATAAATATCTAGATCTGAAGGTATACAGAACTGGACAGTCTTGATTGTGACCACATCCCTAACATTTCCTGCATGTACATTTGTAAAAACAATTGGGCCATAACGACTTTCCCTTACAGACCAGTAAAGAATATTGAAAACAAGTCTCAATAAAATGCTCCGCTGGGCGCAGCTTGATACGACCACAGAGGTCGAACCCTGAACAGTTGGGGCAAGTATGGACACAACATTCAAGATTGATACAGCTCTGAATTTGGATTGTGATTAAATACATGAAATATTTGACACAGCATAGGTTTCTGACACAGAATGAATGTGGTCTAAGAACTTAAAAAAAATTAATTTACCTATTCAAACCATATCCTTATTATTTGTTTTTATATATAAATCAGAAATAACCAATTTAAAATGGAAAATTTTAAAGAAAAAAAAAAAAAAAAAAAAAGGGGAAAAAAATCCCCCCTCTCCCAAATTTTTTGAACCCCCTTATGATTCATCACCCCCAAACTCAATCCCAGCCTTCCCTTTGTGGTATGGTACCTTGCAGTACAATTTCAGAGAGATCCATACACTTACACACAAGTTATTGTCCTGAATTAGAAAAATGCTTGTTTTTGCCCCTTTTTGGTCCCTAATCCCTAAAATTTTGAGACAATTACCCCCAAATTCAATCCCAGCCTTCCCTTTGTGGTATGGTACCTTGCAGTACAATTTCAGAGAGATCCATACACTTGAACACAAGTTATTGTCTGGAAACTAGAAAAATGCTTATTTTTGGCCCCTTTTTGTCCCCTTATTCCTAAACGTTTTGGGCAATTACCCCCAAACTCAATTCCAGCTTTCCCTTTGTGATATCGAACCTTGTAGTACAATTTCAGAAAGATCCATACACTTACACACAAGTTATTGTCATGAAACTAGAAAAATGCTTGTTTTTTGCCCCTTTTTTTGCCCCTAATTCCTAAAATTTTGAGGCAATTACCCCCAAAATCAATCCCAACATTCCCTTTGTGATATGGAACCTTGTAGTACAATGTCAGAGCGATCCATACTCTAACACACAAGTTATGTCTGGAAGTTACAAAAATGCTTATTTTTGGCCCCTAATTCCTTAACTGTTGGTACCATAACCCCCAAAATCAATCCCAACCTTCCTTTTGTGGTATTGAACCTTATGGTAAAACTTCATAGAGATCCATTCACTTAAACTAAAGTTAGAGTGTGAAAACCAATGTGTCTTCGGACGACGACGACGCCAACATCATACCAATATACGACAGCAAAATTTGTTTGTGGTCGTATAAAAATATGTTCAGGACCTATGGGACCAATTTTTGTTAGAGACTGGCATAACAGCAAATAGCTATTATGATTGATTGATTGATTGATTGATACTTGTTTAAAGCCACTTTCAGCACTATTCACTATTTCATGACTGTCAGTTTTATTGGTGGAGGAGACCAGATAGAATCACTGACCTTCAGTATGAAAACTGACAATTCTAGTCAATTAAGAAATGAGTCGAATGCACCTGCAGAGAGTGGGATTAGAACACACTCTCAATGTTGACAGGCTTGTTAGCTATCATGACCCTTTACCGTCATCCTAAAGTAATGAACAAATAACATATACAACATGAAGTGAATACTGTAAACCAACTTATTTTCGCGGATACTTTATTTCGCGTTTAACCCTTTCTAGTCCACTTAGCGGCTATTTAATTTCGCGATTTTCTAATTTACTTGATGTAGTTTAATAAGGAAAGATCCAAGTTTTACATATTCGCAACTATTTATTTTCACGTTATTTTTCTACTCGCGAAAGTCGCGAAAATAAGTTGGTTTACAGTAAGCTATAATATCTTACTATTGATCCTGCTATCTTTTCTTTAAACTGTTTAACTGTTGTCTGAAGATAAAATAGGAAAAATGTATTTACAAGTACAATTGGTACAGTATACAGTGTAAATCTGAAGAAAAAAAATCTGAATAATATTACAGATTACATTCATGAAGTTCAATGCAAAAAACAAAACAATGAATAGGCAGAAAGGTATGTATTAAAACGTTTCACAATAAATATAGTTAAATTTACTTTAAGCATGATAAGTTTTTGCAAATAACATAAGATCACTACCACAAAATAACATATTTTTACTAAACCGTGAAGAAACCTAACACATTTATTGAACAAGAAAATCTGTCTTTAAGGCTCACAAAAAATGTACAACAGCCCATTAGGTTTACTATCAATTGTCCATTAGGTTTCTACACTAAATATTCATTAATGATTTCCCATTAGCAAATGATTAGGTTTCTAAACCATATTAAATATCTAAGATAAAGATGCAATATGTTAAACTATGATTAACATTTCTTTTTATCTTTTATTATTATATCCTAATTCTGATATAGCGTTTGTATGTCAAAAATCAAATTTGAGAGTTTCTGTCATTTCAGTGGGCACAAATTTGGCTGCTACTTAAATGACTGCTTTAACATAAAATGCTTGTTGAACCTAATTGAAAAAAAAGTATGCAATGACTTGCATAATTTAATCAGTATACAAAATTTGACTTTATAAATTTATCTGTTTTCACTTTCTGACTTTTGCAAAAATGTCAAAAAGAAGAAAGTATAAACCTCTCTTTTGAAAAAATAGGGAACAGTCTGACATTTTTCAAAATTTTGAAAAACTTTGGAGTTTGAAATCTGCAGGTTTCAATCACTCTTTAATAGAACATACATTTTCTGGTACACAAAAACTTCTGTTTTGTCCATCAAGTGTTTTAACTGTAACATCCATCATTTTCAATTCCTAAAATAAAAATTAAAGAATTAAGTCAAAGCATTCAAATCAAATAAGAATACACATGTTGTTTTTCAAAGCATACCCCACTAGTAATTTAAAGTATTTGTAAACAGGAAGTAGGTGTGTGACAGATGAAAAAAATGGCCAAATGTTAAATTGTGTCACTCAACATGCTCAATGATTACTGTAATATTAGTTCATTCAACATACATGTATTGAAAAATTCAAAGTATAGGCATTGCCACAAACAGGAAACATGTATCTGAATAAGCATTGCAACTCATCACTGTCAAAAATGGTGTCATTATATAAGTTCAGTTGTACCTGAGGAAAGTGTGGTGGAAATATTTGTTGGAAGAACAGACAGCGAGACAGACAAAGTAAATGCAGTAAAGCCCAACTCTAGTGATATATATTAACATATCAAACATATAAAGATGATGATGGATGATGGATGGCTGCTTAAGGTCCAGAGGCAAATTAATATGCATAATCAAGACGAGAACATGTTAATGTAATATGAATATTTCCCCTGCTTTGTACTAGACCGACACACTGAGCCGGTTTTTAACGTGCTAGTTCACAAGGTAACAGTCCGGAGGAAGACATGTCACCTTACCCGGACACATTATTCTGACTCTGAGCCGACCAGTCTTTGCTCTTACTCCTAATGCTGCGGAGAAGCAGCAAATCCCAATTTTTAAGTCTTTGGTTTGACCCGGCCAGGATTCAAACCCACAACCTCCGGCACTCGAGATAAATATGTTACCATAAGACCACTGAGCGGTCAAAGTTATAAAATATACCAAAAAATACCAAAATGATTAGACTATAAAAGTATTAACAATAAGGAGCTTAATGTTTTTTTCAGGGTCCAATATTAGCTGGGAACCATTTGCCAAAGATCCATTCAAATTAAGATTGGTTACTTGTTACTTTGAGGTGCTATATTCTGCTCCACTTCTAACTATTATCAGAATGCATATGTGTAGCAATTATTATTTGATGAAAACCACACTAAAGAATTTTATATATGTAGGACTTGGAGGTGTGATGGGGACGCTGAAGTGCGATGGTCACACTGAAGTGCGATGGTCTACGCCAAAGTGTGATGGTCCGTTCGCTGATGTGCGATGGTCTATTTGATGCATGATGGCTAGTTTAAAATCTACAGATGTGCAATTGTTATGAGATGTACATGCAGATTTTTATAATAGATAGACTATCTATTAAAAAAATCTGCATGTACATCTCTTAACATAGTACATGTACATATGTATATAAATTTACATTCATTATTGTCTATGACTGTCCTTAACAATATTTTATTTAGTTGCATACTAAATGAGAGATCGTCCTCTTTGATTTTCTGCATGTGGACAGTTCTGCGTTAACATTTTATCTTTACTTTGTTCCTCTCATAGGTTCCACGTTTACCGTAATATAATACGGAGAGTCTGTCTGTGGATCCATTTGTATTTAGAGAATGCCACGCTCCATCGTACATAAAAGGAACCTTTTGTAGATTTAAAAAAAGGCTGCAGAAGGTAAACTTTCCCCTATCCACCAATCCTCCCGGTTTCTCGTAGTTATTAAAAGTTTATAAGCCCTTATTTACTTAATAAAATGCTCCGCTGGGGCGCAGCTTGATACGACCGCAGAGGTCAAACCCTGAACAGTTGGGGCAAGTATGGACACAACATTCAAGCTTGATACAGCACTGAATTTGGATTGTAATTAAATATTTGACACAGCATAGGTTTCTGACACAGAATGAAAGTGGTCTAAGAACTTATAATTTTTTAATTTACCTATTCATACATGTGATGGACTGTGAAACTCAGATCAGGAGATTGGGAAATTTTGGTCAGGAGATTAGGACTCAGATCAGGAGGTTTTTAATCGACATAAATTTTGTCGTAAATGTAACCGTTTGCTGTAAAAATGGTCTTTTAAAGTGTGTTTTCTTCAACTTTCCATCCAATTTATTATGTTTATAGTACCCTTGTACTTATAAAGTTTCTCCATCTTTATATTTTACATGTTCAATCTAACATTTTTTTTTTTCAGTATGTTCTTTAAATTTTTTACTTCATATTCTATAAAACATTTATTGCAACCAGAACATTTGTTTAACTATCTGCAAATAGCTTTTGTTTGCATACTCAGAAAATCATTCTAACTGTAAAACAAGGGTCATAGTTATTATATAAATTTCAATTTAAGCCTTGAAAGGAAGTATAGAATCCTCAAATAATTTTCAAATTATTATTTTTTTATTTGTCCTAAGACATTTAAAATCATTTATTTACCATCCTTTTATGATTATTTGTTCAATTTATATTTTATTTATATTCTTTTAAAAGTTTTCATTATTAAAAGGAAAGTAACTTAAAACAGGATAAATCAAGGGAAGTAACCCAATAAATACACAGTTTTTGTTACACAACGGCAGTTAGCCTGAGGTAAAAAATCATTGATTACCAGTATGTTTGACACCCAAGCTGACAAGTGAAGCCATATAATTATGCATGTTAATTGATTTACAGGTAAAATATAACTTCAGGTAATGTGAGTTACACCAGATGCCTGAGATGATATGTTGGGCAGAAATTTTTCATTCATGAAAAATTTCATACACGGGATTATAATTTTCCTCTTCAACCGGAGGTCGGGAGGAGACTCCTGAAAACAGGATTATTGTACTCCTGTCGGGAGGTTCACATGTATGCTATTCAAACCATATCATTATTATTTGCTTTTATATATAAATCAGAAATAACCAATTTAAAATGGAAAATTTTAAAGAAAAAAAAGGAAAAAAAAATCCCCCCCCCCAAATTTTTTGAACCCCCTTATGATTCATCGCCCCCACACTCAATCCCAGCTTTCCCTTTGTGGTATGGTACCTTGCAGTACAATTTTAGAGAGATCCATTCACTTGAACACAAGTTATTGTCTGGAAACTAGAAAAATGCTTGTTTTTTTGTCCCTTTTTGGCCCCTAAATCCTAAACGTTTAGGGCAATTACCCCCAAACTCCAACCCAGCTTTCCCTTTGTGATATGGAACCTTGCAGTACAATTTCATAAAGATCCATACACTTACAAACAAGTTATTGTCCTGAAACTAGAAAAATGCGTTTTTTGCCCCTTTTTGGCCCCTAATTCCCAAAATTTGGAGGAAATTACCCCCAAAAATCAATCCCAGTATTCCCTTTGTGATATGGAACCTTGTGATACAATGTCAGAGAGATCCATACACTTACAAACAAGTTATTGTCATGAAACTAGAAAAATGCTTGTTTTTTGCCCCTTTTTGGCCCCTAATTCCTAAAATTTGGAGGCAATTACCCCCAAAATCAATCCCAGCATTCCCTTTGTGATATGGAACCTTGTGGTACAATGTCAGAGAGATCCATATACTTACACACAAGTTATGTCTGGAAGTTACAAAAATGCTTATTTTTGGCCCCTTTTTGGCCCCTAATTCCTTAACTGTTAGTACCATAACCCCCAAAATCAATCCCCACCTTCCTTTTGTGGTATTGAACCTTATGGTAAAATTTCATTGAGATCCATTCACTTAAACTAAAGTTAGAGTGCGAAAACTAATGTGTATTCGGACGACGACGCCGGACGACGACGACGACGACGACGACGACGACGCCAACGTCATACCAATATACGACCACAAAAATTTTTTTGCGGTCGTATAAAAACCTGGAAAACTTCTTCTAACATACAAATTGACTTCTACATCAACATGAAAAGCATTAAAAATTTAGTTTGTGTAGACCATCGCACTTCAGCGTAGCTATCAACAATATAGCGTCACAATGCCACCATCGCACTTCATCGTGATCGAAAATGCACTTCAGTGTCAAACCATCGCACCTCAGCGTGACCATCGCTGTTCGGAGTACCATCGCGGGTCAGAGTCCTACATATGTAGGACTCAGAGATGCGATGGGGACACTGAAGTGCGATGGTCTATATATAAAACGTGCGATGGCTAGTTTAAAATTTACAGATGTCCAATTATTATGAGAGTTTGAATTTTTTATAATTTAGTATATAAATATCATAAGTTCAATATTTTTCTCCAGTTGCAGTAAAAAACATCGATGATCTATCTTATTTACAGCAGCGTATAGATTTTTCGTTTATTTTGTCTGACTAATCAAGAAGTATTTGCATCTAAAACAACTACCACATTTTTTCAGTCATTGTAATGGGTACTGGTTTTAAAGGAAAATAGCTTCTGCATGTAGCATCAATTTCTGAACAATTGTATGAATGACTGTTTTTTTAAAGCTATTTACAAAGTATAATGTTCTCTATTCTGTAATCACAACATCCAGACCATCAGCTTATTATATAAGTATAAGTAAATTTACTCTCAGGATTTCACCCCATGTTCAGCCGTTAGTTTTCTCGTATGAATTGTTTTACATTGTCATTTCGGGTCCTTTTATAGCTGACTGTGAGATATGAGCTTTGCTCATTGTTGAAGGCCGTACAGTGACCTATAGTTGTTAATTTCTGTGTCATTTGGTCTCTTTTGTAGAGTTGTCTCATTGGCAATCATACCACGTCTTCTTTTTTATATTTGCCGACAGAAATGAAAGTGTTAAAACCACGCCCCATGTGAGTGTCAACAAACATAACGACAGGCAATCAGACTCTGTTCCCCAAAACTTGAATACTTTTACAAGCTACCAGTCATGTAAGAATTTATAACTGTTTCCTTTTATAAAAAATAAAATGCTCATCTGGGGCGCAGCTTGATATGACCGCAGAGGTCGAACCCTGAACAGTTGGGGCAAGTATGGACACAACATTCAAGCTTGATACAGCACTGAATTTGGATTGTAATTAAATATTTGACACAGCATAGGTTTCTCACACAGAATGAAAGTAGTCTAAGAACTTAAAATTTTTTAATTTACCTATTCAAACCATATCATTATTATTTGCTTTTATATATAAATCAGAAATAACCAAT